CTCATAAAAACATACTTGTTTAAAAAGTTAGAGACATTCAGTTTCTGGCTGTGGGCTTTTTAGTTGAAAATTACATAAAATTACTTTCACAAAAATATAATTTGCCAAAAAATGGTGGTTTGAAATGAATTTTGGTGGACTCAGTGGACTTACATGCTGATTGGAGGCATTCAACAGGATCTATACAAATCATGCATCCTAGTGGAGAAAATTCATGGTATGCCAGGTAAAGAGTTTATCATTCAGTACATAACATTTGCACCTATAAAAAGCTCTGTAAAGAGAGAGAATTGCTGAAAGAACCAAATAGGTTAGGGCTGAAATATTGTGAAAAGACATACAAACTACAAATTAAAATATTTATAACTTGAATCAAAATTGTCATCAAACTCTTAATCATAAGATGAGAAAATAACAATATAACATCTGTCTCTTTCGGAAACTTCACTGTGGACATATTCGATTTCAACCTATATGAGAGATGTGATTTTGCTGTAAGTATGTGTTATAAAGGAGGTTGTTTTAGGAAATCAAATGTACGGTGAAGCATCAGCACATTACAATTTATATGGTGTATGGTCACAAGAAATACAATTTCCCCGCTTTGGCTTCAAATGAGGCTTAAAATAGACAGTTTTATGAGATACCAGTGTGAGAAGGGTCAAATAAGTATATCAACATTTCAATGCCAAGTTATTCCCATTTTTGGATGGGTAAAGCTCGACTGAAAGTAGAAGGAAAATTACAGCTTTGGAAAGTCTGCAAGGACAGTGTGCATGCAAAACAGCCAAGGATCACAGGACATGGTTTCTCTTTATTTAAAGGCATAAGCAATGTTTGAGCATAATGAAAAGTTGGTTTAATGGTTTGCGTTGTCCCACTCAGGTTTTGGCTTGCAGACTGCCATCAAGTACTAGAGACTGTTGGTCTGGCAACACAGCTTTATAGAGAATTAATATGTGTTCCTTATATGGCAAAGTTTGTGATATTTGCCAAAATGAATGACCCTGTGGAATCCAGTTTGCGTTGCTTCTGCATGACTGATGACAAAGTGGACAAAACTTTGGAGCAACAAGAGAACTTTGAAGAAGTTGCAAGAAGCAAAGACATTGAGGTATATTTCTTACTCACAGCCAGCTTCCTCCTTGTAAATGGACAATGTATTTTCCAAGTGGCAACAGGTCCTGCAAAAGCCCCTTTAAGCCCAGTTAAATAACGGTTTCACATCAAGGCTGTGTCAAAAAACGTCTTGAAAGGAGGCCAAAAAAAGGACAAGATTGGGGGAGCATGAGGACTTGTCTCCAAATGGATGCCCCAGGCCAGTCTGCAGTGGGGGATTAAATATGCGCTGCTGTCAAATAGCCCTGGTTGGGCTTTGGAGACAGCTGACCTTTCCTTGTCATTGGCCCTGCAGACACAGTCATAAGTTGAGCTGGTTTGTGGTGAATACGTAGTCACCAACTGTCTGCACTCATAATACCTTGCCATAATGCACAGTGATTTTCTAATTTGTTGTTGAATTTAATCTGCGTGGGGACTTGTGCTAAACTGAGGATCTATGAAGGGGGAAATTGTCTACTAGGGATCTACTATGAAAAGAGGTTTTATTGACTTGTATTTATTGCTTTCTTAGGTTCTGGAAGGAAAACCTATTTATGTCGATTGCTATGGAAATCTGGCCCCTTTGACTAAAGGAGGACAGCAGCTTGTTTTTAATTTTTATGCTTTCAAAGAAAATAGACTGCCATTCTCTATCAAGGTAAAAGCAAAACAAGCCAAATAATTCTGCTGATGTTCCCTCTCCCCCACCCAGTGATAACACTTTTTCAGGCTGATAGGACTAACTTGCCCTGAGGCTGTAAGTGTCAGTGTTTAATATGTGAATAACGTGGCGAGGGTGCTTTGCATGAAGCCACAAAAGAGCCGCTGGCAGGGCCGGGGCCAGAATACACATGATATGGATACACAGCCTTTTATTAAAACCGTATCTCAAGTAAGACTCCAGAAGATTACCAGTAGATCACTATTTCCCAGGGACTAAGCAAAGGAGATGCATTCAACAACATACTGTACAGCGGAACAGCCTCCAAAAAGTGTGCACAGACTGTTCACGTCTAAATTACCATGAATGGACTCTCACTTTCTTTAGCCTTGTCATAGCTGCTGTGCAAAAGAAGTTTTTAAGCATTTTTGGTGAGCACATGTGCAAAATGTGGCAGAAAAAAAATAAGGTGAACAGAAAATGTCTCTCAGTAATACCCCAGCATGAAACTGTTTGGTTGGGCTCACTCAACATCTTGTCTTCCATGGATATACCATCGGAGAGCTTCAGATTGACCTAGCTCTTTCATGGCAACACCTTTTCTCCTTCAGCATCTGAGGCTGAGCCCCAGCTCAGTAATGTTGGTCTTTACCTATTAAATAGCTTCTTGGGGAAAGAAACTCCCGAGAAATTCTCCAGAAACCTCCTTTAGGTATCTCAATTACTACATATTACTACACTGTACTAAAATTTCTTCTCTAGGTAAGAGACACCAGCCAGGAACCTTGTGGTCGATTATCGTTTTTGAAAGAACCAAAGACTACAAAAGGACTGCCACAAACAGCTGTTTGCAACTTGAATATCACCCTGCCAGCACACAAAAAGGTATTTGTTAGGAGAAGTAAACATTTTTGTTAGGGTTCTATTTTTGCTCCTTTAGTTTTCGGTTGTGTTCCCCCCCCTCCCCGACCCCGCTAGTGATAACCCTCTGAAATGCCAGTAATGAGAATGCTTTGGAATATGATAAAGGCTTTTTAAATTTATGTTTTATTGGTTTCCTGTGTGTAGAACACTTTTAAAGTCTTTTGTTACTGTGGTGTCAAGTTCCTATAATTTTTATGATTCTGTTTACAGCTCATGCTTCAGCCTGCAAGTCATAGGTTTATGCTTTCAGTAATGTCATGTGTTGATTTGCATTGGGTGTAAGATTTTTTTTTTTTTCTTTTGTGTTGACATTTTGGATTTGCTTTGCCTTATAAATCAGCTTGCATTTTGTGCTCCCAATTTGGTCCTTTTCATATCCTGATATTCTTTTCCCTGCTGTCCATTATAATATTCCTTGTCTCTGCAATGCATCTTGGGACCAAAAGGAAACAGAGTCAGATCAAGATGATGAGGTAATATAAACACTGTCTTCTGTTTTTATTTCCTTCAGATTTAGTGAAGAAAAGTAATATGTTATAGAAAAAATAAACAACTATTTTTAACTATAGCATTGAAATGATACCTACGGAATAACCATATCCTCGACATCTGATGGTCTGTTGCAAAACAGTAGAAGTGCACGAATGTGGAAAAAACATGATTATATATTATGAAATTAAACCAAGCACTGAATAATAGCAGTCTTAAATTTAACTCGTTTTCTTCTGAAAAAGGATATAATTATAAAATTCAGACCAAGTCCATTTTTGGCAAAACCAAGAAGAGTTTAGTGGATATGATTTTACCTCTTGGAGTAATACTGCCAATGCTTTGGTACCTTGTATTTCTGAGAAGGACAGAAGTATTGCTGAGGCCACAATAGTGGCCTATAATTTTTTTACTCCTGAAAATAACTTGGAATCTTCTGACAAAGCAAAATAGCCAAGAGCGATTTCTAAATAGTGTGTACAAATCTATTTTAAAATAAACCTCAGATATTTGCAGCTTAAAAATCCACTGTTTTCTGGAAACTGCAACGTTAGATTGTCAGGAAATTGAGTGGGTTTTATTCATTAGCGGCAGTAATAAATGAGATCACCTTATAAAAGAAACTACATAGATGAATCCCGTTTTCCTGGCAGCAAGTTTTCTTCTCTTCCTGGTGGCAAATAAACAGCAGTAGCCACCTGCTGATTAAAATAAAATAAAATAAATAAAAAAGAAACACAAAAAACAAAACACTCCTTACATGTCAAAAAATAATAATAGCAACGATATCACTTTGTCTCCACAGGATTTGTTCCCAGGTAGCTATTATATAGCTAGAACAATAGTTTTCTTTCTAAACAAACCATATTTTTAGCCACATAATCAAGTGAGCTGATCTCTGAAGGATGTTTAATATTTAAGACATCACACTAGCAGCTATGCCACTGAATGCAGTGACTTACGATGCAATTTATTAGTTAACAATAGTCGTCTGCTTTCTAATCTGCATCTTTGCATTTTGTGCCTATTAAACAAATCCCCTCCCATGCCTTTTTTGTCCTTAATGTATTCACTTTAAAGCCAGTGTACATTGTGGTGTACGTGCTTTCAGGGCAACTTAATTTGGGGAGAAATATTTGATCAATCTAAGTTGTACTCTTATGAATGTTTTATGTCTGTATCTGTAGTCTTTTGTGTTGATCTCCTGTTTCTAGCCAAAGGTGCTTTATTTTACAGAGAATGCATAGTATCATACCATTTCTAGTAGTGTGAAGCAGTTTATTAAGTGATAATGAGATAATATAGTATTGAGATACTTTAAGGCAGGGTCATGAGCTACATCTGCTCTCTAAGCTCTTCTACCTGATAAGCAGAGACATTGTGAGCAACTGGGGTCACCTCTTAGGGTTGCGGTCCCTTCCCTGCTTGCTCCAGAAGGGTAGTCATTCACAGCAGGTTTCTGCCACCTCCAATAGCCCTGCTCCCTGCTTCACAGTGCCTGACATTCATTACATGGCAGACAGGAATGGAGACCGGCTCTGTCCATTCCCTGCCTGCTTGCCCAAATTTGGCTCCAGCATGCCTTCCTGAAGCTGAACGGAAAGATCCGTTCTCCTTTGTGGGGATGGGTACCACAAAATGCGGCCCATCGTGCTGAGGTTTGATGATTGTTGTGTTCGAATGGGGGGTAGCGGTACTAAAGGCACTAAACAGTACTATGTTTTGTTGTAGACGGAGAAAGCTGACCGGCGCCAGAACTTTGTCTCCCTTGCTTTACGTAAGCGCTACAGCTATCTGACTGAGCCTGGAATGAGTGAGTTGCTCTTACCAAAGTACTAAACCATATATACATGATTTTTCATAAGAAGAGACATTTTTTCTATAAACGTTGTATTTGGTGTCACTCTGGGGGTGGGGAAAAAAAAAAAAAGACAAAACCACCGATCTAAAACAAAACTCTTGGATGGTCTGTGAACTCTTGTGTTGTGAGAGCTTGAAGAATCCTGACTGGCAAATGATATGTGTTAGTTAAGTAAAAATAAAATAATAGTTTTTGAAATGCCATGTAGCTCCGGAGTAGGAGGATTGCAAATTGTTTTCAAAAAGAGTCTGTTCTTCCCTTTGAAAGGTTAGAGAGAGCTGCTGTAGAAATGAACGTTATGCAAAAGTTCAGCAAGGCTGGAGAATGCCATTCAGATAAGTGCTTAAATGTTTAGATGCTTAGCCAAAATGGACTCTCTCATACTTTATATTTTACCTCTTCTTTCTCCTCCCCTTCCTTTTTTCCTCTGTTCCCTGCAGATGCTTTTTATTCCCTGGCACCACACATTGCTTCCTCTTAAAGTTATGTTCCCCTTGACCAGATCTGTGGCATTCCTTTCCTTCCCTGTTACATACAATAATGTATTTAGCTTAGCTTTTCTTGCCTCGCCTCTCCTGTCTGAGGTTGACTGCTATTGTTTCCCATTCCCAGGCTTTTTCTTGCCTTTTTTTCCCTCGTGGCTTCTCAGTTGCTACCCTGCAACAGACCTTTTGATATAATTCCATAAAATCCATAGAGAGACTTCATCGGGTCTTGGGAGCTCCCACTGGATGGCTGCTGTTCAGTTATCTTATAAGATCTGTGGCTTCTTTGGATCAGATGTGCTCCAGAATATATTACACTTCTCAGGCCTGAAGAAGAAGACTTCAAGCATATAACATCTGAAGAAGCTATCAGATCTGCTGAGACATCTTGATGGACTTGTTAAGGTATCGTCAAAGACTTGATGGGAACTGAGAGAGAGGGAATAGAAAGTTGCTTGAAACAAGTTTGATGACTCTGTATGTTGCTTACAATTAGTTTTTCAGGTGTCATTGGGAAAAAAAAAAAGTCTTATTTATTCACCAAAGGTCCATTAAGTCTCATTTGCAAAAAGCTGCAGGGGAAAAAAGGTAAACCCACTTGAGCTGTACGCAAAAAAAAAAAAAAAAAAAGATGAGTTAACGCAGTAAAGTTCCTGACCGTTCTTTAACTATTCTATCCCTTTTGGCCATGCTTACTACTTAAAGCTGTGAGCTACCCAAAAAGGGTATGCAGAAATGATTGCTTTTGCCAGGAGAGGTTGTAGATAGTGGTTTGGCCATCAGCCTGATCACCACCTCCTGTGCGCATGCAGCATGTAGTCATCCACTGCCACTACCACCTGCATCGTGCTGGTGCGAGGGGAGGATGTGGTCTTTGAGGTACAGCTCTTCCAGAGAGCACACACTGCCCAACACAGAGCCCAGACTGCTGCTGTGGCTGCTTTACACTGCTTTACACTGCAGGATGTTTGCACCAGTGATTAGATATGAGTGATGAACCTCTACCTATTTCCAGTGAATTTCATGGGACAGTTCCCACAGTTGTGGTAGCAGCAGGGGTTGTGCTTTTCACTCACGCAAGCGCATACAGATTTTTTTCCTCTGCACCCCTGCCAATGCTAGTGCAGAAGGGAGTAAGGCAGGTGGGATATTCCCCCGTCTCCCTGTCCTTCCTTACCCCTGCCCAGGGAAAGGGACAAAGGGCCTCTCAGCTGTTCCCAGCAGTGAGGTCCCCAGAGAAGAGGAGAGCTGCTCCGCTTAAAACCTGCTGCTTATTTGCAGCTGAAGAGGAGCAAGGCTGAGCAGGGGCCACTTGTATGGGTTCACTCGGTGCTTTCAGTTGCCAGCTGCAAGCAAGGAAGTGTACTTTGGTGCACAGAAGGTAGTAACTAGCATCTGTTTTCTGATAAAATCTTGGATGCAGAGTGATGGAAACTGTTTAGGCCAAGAGTGTCCAGTAGCCAAAAAGGGCTGTTATATAACCCACTCTTTACAATATTATTCCACTCTAAATTCTTGCATGGTTGTGGGGATTTCTTTGCTATTTCAAAATAGTAAAATTGCCCAGCTCCCTGTTGTTTTGAGCTATGTCATAGCTGCACACACTGGTAAATTACTCAGTTTTCTTTGTACTGGTTCTTCTTTTCAGTTGCAATAAGGAGCACAGAAAAAGCATTTTAAACATGGCTGAATCTGTGATTTAACAGGGGAAAGAGCAGCTAAAAGGGGAGCCTGTTGGTTTGATTGCCTCTCTAGCCAGTTGTGGTAGACTGGCTCATCACAGTGCAGTGGGGTCCCTGTAAAGACATTTCCAAACACAAACTGCTGAAAAAATTGTTTTGTTCTTAGTTCTTTTCAGAATGATTTTGGGATTTGTTTCTTGGACTCGGGACTCTATGGTGAATGTTAGCAGCTGCTGCTAATTAATCTTCCTAATGAAGTCTAGCTCATTTAATGAAGTACACTATGTTTTCTTCTTTGGGGGAAAAAGACGTATGTTTGCACTTAAAAATAAAATTGCAAGGAAAAAGGGTGTTTCTTGACATAGGCTATGCCAGTCAGGCCTAGTATTCAAGCTCTCTTCAACCTAAATGTTCTCATACTGCAATATCACCAGCCATCCACATTGCCTTCTGGGTTTCGATTGGCTTCTATAGGACCAGCACATTTCTCCTTGCAGGATATGGACCTGTGGTATATTGAATATTCACTATTCTCTAAGAGTGTGTGTGCTTTAAGCTTAACGGTTTAGTATCAGCCTTGTTAAGTTTCTTTCACTGTAACTTACTGTCTGTCTATAAGACAGATTAAGCAGGTTTGACAAATTATTAGTGTAACTTCAGAGAAAGGTATGCTGAGTAAGTTGTTTGGATATTTAAGCTCCATTTCTAATTCCAACTTTAAAGAAAAAAAAGCCCTCTTAAGTTACTTTCAGTGTCAACTCTCTGAATGTTATTGCTGTATCAGAGGATATGTATGCTGTAATGGGATTCCCAGAAATATTGTCTTCTGGGCGAAGTACCTCCTGTGATGCAAAATGTGCTTGATGATGATTTTGTTCGAAACGCCTGTGAATAAGCTGAGTGTTCTGGGGGATGATCACAGTTAACAGGTTTGTCCTTGCCAGGAAGTTTTTGCATATTACATTGTTCTTTGACTGCTTTTCTGATGTTACCTTTTGAGAAATGTAAAGTTGAACAGGTCTGTCTTTGAGCTGATACAAGAAATCTCCTCAAAAGGTACCAAGACACTACATCTTGTAGAAAAAGTGTACTCTTCTTTTAATGGCCTCTTGTGAAATGGTTTTGTAAGGTTTACATATTTGTGCTTAATACAGCATACAAAATGTATTAATCTGTGTGCTCGTTTTGATATGATATACTGTGCATGAATAAAACTGATTCAGTTGCTTTGCTTGCTCACGTTTATCATATATCATACTTTCCATATTTCATGTATGACACATGCTTCTTAAAATCATTTCATGTAAAGTTTTACTTTAGTTTTTACCAAACAAAAGGAATATCGCATGAGAAACAAATGCAAAAGTTCCTTTTCTTTATTTATTTTTATTTTTTTTTTTAAATATTGACTCAGAAAAGCTCTTGCTCTTATTGGCTTTATGAGTGTGAAGCATATCCGAATTGTGCATGGGAGATACAGATTTGAATTTATTCCAGTTGCTTCACAGTTTGCACATCAATTGCCTGTCACTTAAAGGAATTTTGGGTTCTGCATGAAATAGATCTGAGTGGTTTAAAAAAAAAGATTTTAGCTATATTATGTAATTTTATGCAAGTTTATATTTCGTATAGGTTCAATACCTGAATAGCACAACAACAACAGAAATTATTAAAAGGATAATTCTGATAGTTGCGCAAAGCAGAGACATACCTAAACAGGCAAAATAGTACTGATACGAATATTTCAGAAGTAGCACATCAGAAAGTCAATGGGAAGTAAGAGAAGACATTTTGATGTGGATTTATTTTTACCTTATGGATTCCTTCTTTGTGTTTTCTGTTCTTCATTGTTTGCAGATTTGGTTGCTATGTGCTTTCTGTCTCTCATTTCATGTTGCTTTTTGGTTTGGTCCAGTCATCAATATATGGCTCATTCCTCTTTTTTTCTTTCCTTTTTAAATCTTCTTTTGCCTCCTTCATCCTAACTCATGCAAACAGTTGTACTTGCTTTTTGTAATATTACAACGTTTACTGACCAATTTTCTTCTCTGGTCTCTCTGTTTTTCAATCATTTTTGTTGATTTTTATGTTTGATTTTAATTTAACAATTTAAGAAACAGTTGAACGGAGTGCAGGAGCAACAAGATCCCTACCTGCTACTTACTCATACAAGCCATTCTTTTCAACACGGCCATATCAGTCATGGACAACAGCTCCAATTACAGTGCCTGGGCAAACCAAATCAGGCTTCACTTCCTTATCAAGCTCTTCCTCTAACACTCCTACAGCTTCCCCATTAAAATCAATATGGTCTGTTTCTTCTGCTTCTCCAATCAAATCCACATTAGGAGCTTCTACCACATCTTCAGTTAAATCTGTTAGTGATGTAGCATCTCCGATTAGATCATTTCGGACAATCTCTTCACCAATAAAAACTGTGGTGTCGCAGCCTCCATACAATATACAGGTTACTTCAGGCTCTTTCGTCAGAGCTCCCGCAGTCACAGAAGCTGCTAGTCTGAAAGGGCTGGCATCCACTACCACATTCCCCTCTCGGACATCTCCAGTGACTACAGCAGGATCTCTCTTGGAGAGATCATCCATAACCATGACGCCTCCAGCATCCCCCAAATCCAACATTAACATGTACTCTTCAAGTTTGCCACTTAAATCGGTCATCACATCAGCATCTTCACTTTTATCGTCCCCTCTAAAGTCAGTGGTGTCACCTGCTAAGTCAGCAGTTGATGCTGTTTCATCCTCTAAAGTCATGATGGCCTCGTCTCTCTCGTCACCAGCAAAACATGTAGCTGGGCACACAGATGTACCATTGCTTAATGGATCTGTGTCACCTCTGAAATACCCATCTTCTGCCAACTTAATAAATGGATCGAAAGCTGCAGCTGTTTTTCAAGACAAGATCACTGCAGCTGCACATTCTGCAACTTGTGCTGCTAATGCAGTTGCTGACACGGCTGAGAGAGTGTTTTCAACAGCTACAACAATGTCATTCTCTCCACTCAGGTCATTTGTGTCTTCAGCACCATCAGCTTTCCAGTCAATGAGAACTTCTCCTGCAGGTGCTTTGTACACAGCCCTTGGGTCAATATCTGCAACTACCTCATCAGTAACTTCATCAACAATAACAGTGCCAGTATATTCTGTAGTCAATGTTTTGTCTGAACCAGCATTAAAGAAGCTCCCAGAGTCGCCTTCTCTTACAAAATCAGCTGCTGCGTTACTGTCACCTATTAAAACATTGACTACAGAGGCACGCACACAGCCTCCCTTTAATCGAACTTCATCTCCAATAAAATCATCCTTGTTTTTAGCACCCTCTGCTCTCAAATTGTCCACACCATCTTCTTTATCCTCCAGTCAGGAGATACTGAAAGATGTTGCTGAAATGAAAGAGGATCTAATAAGAATGACTGCAATATTGCAGACAGATGTCGCAGAGGACAAACCGTTCCAACCTGAGATACCAAAAGAGGGTAGAATTGATGATGAAGAGCCCTTTAAAATTGTTGAGAAAGTAAAAGAGGACTTAGTAAAAGTTAGTGAGATTCTGAAAAAAGATGTGTGTTTAGAAAGTAAAGGGTCGGCTAAAGTATCCAAAAGTGATCAAGGACACCTCTCTGAGGATGACTGGGTAGAGTTCAGTACAGAGGAGATTGATGAAGCGAGACAGCAAGCTTTGACAAGCCCTCCTATATCTGTTCCAGAGAAGGTCCAAATTAAAACTAAAACCATGTCGGAAAAGGATTATAGCTTGTCAAAAGTTATTGATTACTTAGCAAATGATATCGGTAGCAGTTCATTAACAAACATAAAGTACAAGTTTGAAGAGGGCAAAAAAGAAGGTGAAGAGAGACAAAAACGCATTTTAAAACCAGCTATTGCTTTGCAGGAACATAAACTTAAAATGCCTCCAGCCTCCATGAGGCCTTCAACATCAGAAAAGGAGTTATGTAAAATTGCAGATTCCTTTTTTGGAACAGATGCTATTTTAGAGTCTCCAGATGACTTTTCTCAACACGATCAAGATAAAAGTCCCTTATCTGACAGTGGCTTTGAAACGAGGAGTGAAAAGACACCTTCTGCCCCACAAAGTGCTGAAAGCACAGGGCCAAAACCACTTTTCCATGATGTACCCATCCCTCCCGTCATTACAGAAACAAGAACTGAAGTAGTTCATGTTATCCGCAGCTACGAACCATCATCTGATGAAATTCCAGAGCAGAAAGCAGAGGAGCTACCGGCCTCGAAACCTTCCCCTACGTTTATGGAGCTGGAGCAAAAACCTGCTGGATCTATTAAAGAGAAGGTTAAAGCTTTTCAAATGAAAGCCAGCAGCAGTGAAGATGATGACCATAAGTGTGTCCTTAGTAAAGGTGTCCGAGTAAAAGAAGAAACTCATATCACTACAACAACTAGGATGGTTTATCATAAACCTCCATGCACTGAAAGCACATCTGAAAGAATTGAGGAAACAATGTCTGTTCATGACATAATGAAAGCCTTTCAGTCTGGGCGTGACCCTTCCAAAGAACTGGCAGGTCTGTTTGAACATAAATCATCAGTAACATCCGATGTTAGCAAGTCTGCTGAAACTTCACCACAACCTGCAGAGAAGGACAGCAAAATGAAACCCAAACTGGAGCGAATAATAGAGGTCCATATTGAAAAAGGTAATCAGGCTGAACCTACTGAAGTCATTATTAGAGAAACAAAAAAGCATCCAGAAAAAGAAATGTATGTATATCAGAAAGACTTACCTCGGGGAGATATTAACTTAAAAGAGTTGGAAAAACATGATGCTTTTCCTTGTTCAGACGAACAAGGTCAGCAAGAAGAAGAGGAGCTCACAGCCGAAGAGTCACTTCCTTCTTATCTGGAATCCTCTAGAGTTAACACTCCTGTGTCCCAGGAAGAAGACAGTCGCCCTAGTTCTGCTCAACTCATGTCTGATGACTCTTACAAAACACTGAAGCTTTTGAGTCAGCACTCAATAGAATACCATGATGATGAGTTGTCAGAACTAAGAGGGGAGTCTTACAGGTTTGCTGAGAAAATGCTTCTTTCAGAAAAGCTAGATGTGTCTCATTCTGATACTGAGGAGTCAGTTACTGACCATGCTCTACCCCTTAGTGCAGAGTTACAGGGGTCTGATAAACGATGCAGAGAAAAAGTAGCTACTGCCCCCAAAAAAGAGATTCTCTCCAAAATGTATAAAGATGTATCTGAAAACGGTGTAGGTAAAATGTCTAAGGATGATCATTATGATAAAGTGACAGTGTTACACTACACTGGAGATGTTAGTAGTCCAAAACATGCAATGTGGATGCGCTTTTCTGAGGACAGATTAGACAGAGGTAGAGAAAAGTTGATGTATGAAGACAGGGTGGACAGGACTGTTAAAGAGGCAGAAGAAAAACTGACTGAAGTATCACAGTTTTTTCGGGATAAAACGGAGAAGTTGAATGATGAGCTACAGTCTCCAGAGAAAAAGCAGCATAAAAAAAATGGCAAAGAAATACATTCTAGCCAGAGCTCTGCCAGCAGCAGCCCTGAGAAAGTTCTGCTCTCTGAATTACCATCATCCGGCGATGAATGGAGTAAGGTGAAGCAGTATGCACACAATGGGAAGTGCTTTCCCAAGGTGGATGAAAGAAAAGCATCCAGTTTGCCCAGCAGTCCTGAAAAAAGGATATTTGTGCAACCCACAGAGGACTCTAAACAAACTATGGAACACAAAGGAAGTGCTCAGCAGACTGGAGTACCTGAGGTTTCACAGACTGGATTTCAGCTGAAGCAATCAAAGCTCAGTTCCATTAGGCTTAAGTTTGAACAAAGTATAAGCCCAAGGAGTAAGGATGTAACACAAGAAGAAAAAAAGCTGGATGGTCAGTCCAAAATTCCAGTAAAGAAATTGCAAGAAAGTAAGTTACCAGTGTATCAGTTTTATTCCAGAGAGAAACATGCAAAGCAAGTAGAGCTCACTGATGGGAGCACAGCTTTACAGAAAGAGGTGAAAATACAGGAAGATTTTGTTCCAGGTAGAGGGAAAACTATCGAAGACTTTCGTGCTTCAGACACACAAAACCAAACAACTGAGATGAGTAAAGGCGTGCCAGAATACTTTTCAGAACCACGGGCGAAAGACCTGGTATACGGCTCAGACTCGACAACGAAGGGACACTGGGACAAAAAAATCTATAGGACGTGGGAAAGTCCTGGAACTTCTAATCATAAAACACAAAAAGAAAAACTTTCACATGTGCTGGTTCCAGATACAGTAAAAGAAAACCATGTTGATCATGCTGAAACTAAAACTGACAAAAAGAGTGAATTTATCACTGTGACAGAGCACAAACTGGCAACAAATGGAATTCATTCAGAAGAAGTGAAGGAACTGACTGTAAAATCTCCCTCAAAAAGGGTTTTATACAGAGAATTTTTTGTCAGGGAGGGGGAACGTAATGGTGAAGTGGCTGATAAAATATCCAAAAGGAAAGAAGAAATTGCTGTGTCCCATATTCCAGTCAGAATTGTTGAGGAGAAGAGAACCATGCTTGATGGTGTCTATGAACTTTCAGCTAAAGTATCCCAGTCAGCGGTGATTAAGGAGAGAGTTGAGAGGCAGATTGATTATGTGGAAGATGAAAAAATAAAGCATTCAGAAATCAGAAAAGTTACCAAGCAGCAGAGCTCGATAGGTCTAAGTCCTCCTGTTGAGGAAACGGAGATATCTCCTAGCAAATCACCAGATTCTTTAGAATGTAGTCCAGGAAAAGAATTTCCTTCGAGTGAGTTAGCAGACCCCGGTGCCAGTGATTACTTGGATAAAGTTGCACCGCTAGTAAGCACTGAAGGAGTAAAAGAAATTAAGACCTTACCTGTTTATGTCAGTTTTGTTCAAGTAGGAAAGCAGTATGAGAAAGAGGTGCAACAAGGAAATACTAAAAAAATTGTCAGTCAGGAGAGTAAGACGGTACAAGAGACAAGAGGGACATTTTACACAGCTAGACAGCAAAAACAACCTCCTTCTCCACAAGGTAGTCCAGAAGATGACACTCTAGAACAAGTGTCCTTTATAGATAGCTCTGGTAAAAGCCCTTTAACACCAGAAACACCAAGTTCAGAGGAAGTGAGTTACGAGTTTACATCTAAAACACCCGACTCACTAATAGCTTATATCCCAGGCAAGCCCAGTCCTATACCTGAGGTATCTGAGGAATCAGAGGAGGAAGCAGAGGCTAAGTCCACATCTGTAAAACAGGCAGAGGTTGAGGAACCACAGATTGACAAAGCATTACCTAATCATATAAATAAGGACTCTAACAAAAGACCCAAAGGTAACAGAGTTGCCTACATTGAGTTCCCTCCTCCTCCACCACTGGATGCAGATCAAGGCGAGTCAGAAAAGAAGCCTCATTATTCTACTGAGAGTGAAATGGAGATGACAGAAGTGAACTTGCAAGATGAACATGACAAATGCCAACTGGCTGAACCTGTCATAAGAGTACAGCCGCCGTCTCCTGTGCCACCAGGAGCAGATGTCAGTGACTCCAGTGATGATGAATCTCTCTATCAACCTGTTCCACTTAAAAAGTATACATTCAAACTGAAAGAACTGGAAGATGACCAGAAGGAAACCTCAAAACCCAAAGCCCCTGAAAAGATTGAGAAACAGAAAGAGTTAGGACATACCACTCCTGGGAAACCTAATGAGTTTGACATTGGGCTTGATTCACCCCAGAATGATGTAGTGCAAAATGGGAATAACAATGACCAGTCTGTTACAGAGTGTTCCATAGCAACCACTGCAGAATTCTCCCATGATACCGATGCGACAGAGATTGACTCTCTTGATGGTTATGATTTGCAAGATGAAGATGATGGTTTAACTGAGAGTGATTCTAAACTTGCAGGTCCGACAGTTGAGACCAAAAAGGATGTATGGACTACAGAAGGCATTCTAAAGCAGACTGATCGCTGCTTTAGCCAAAGTAAGCTTGAAGTCATTGAGGAGGAAGGCAAGGTAGGCCCTGAAGAAGACAAGGCACCTTCAAAGGGTCCAGCTTCTGAAAAAGCCGGAGTTAAGAGCGAGCAGAAGTCAGGGGCACAGTTTTTCACTTTGGAAGGCAGACACCCTGACAGGACTGTATTTCCTGATACGTATTTTAGTTACAAAGTAGACGAAGAATTTGCAACACCTTTCAAAACGGTGGCCACGAAGAGTCTAGATTTTGATCCGTGGTCCAATAACCGAGGTGACGATGAAGTGTTTGAGACTAAATCAAGGGATGATGAGGCTAAGCCATTTGGTCTGGCAGTGGAAGACAGATCTCAAGCAACAACACCTGATACAACTCCAGCCAGAACTCCAACAGATGAAAGTACGCCAACTAGCGAGCCCAACCCCTTCCCATTTCATGAAGGGAAGATGTTTGAGATGACTCGCAGTGGTGCAATTGACATGAGCAAGAGGGATTTTGTTGAAGAAAGACTCCAATTTTTTCAGATTGGTGAGCATACTTCTGAAGGGAAGTCAGGGGACAAGGGGGAAGGGGATAAAAGTACAGTCACTGCCATCACACAGCCACAGGCAGGGGACAACACTGTAGAAACAAACCTAGAGAGACCAGTAGAAACAACAGCAGTTGAACATAAGCCCATCATCCAGGCCAGTGGAGATTGCATGGAACTTGGTAGTAACTCACTGGAAAAATCATCGGCAGCGGTAAATGCTTCTAAAGTTGATCCCAAATTGCGCACACCAATTAAAATGGGAATTTCTGCTTCCACCATGACTCTGAAGAAAGATGGCCCTGGCGAAGTGACAGATAAGATAGAAGCTGTGATGCCAAGTGGTCAGGGATTAGAAAATGAAACTGTAGCAGTGATTGCGAGTTCAGCCTCTAGCCAGACAAGCTGTAGGCAAACAGAAAACACTGATTTTCCAAAAGATAATTTTAATAACAACAACAATTTGGATTCATCTGCTGTCCCTACAGATGATATTACCTGTAATGTAGTGCTAAAAGAACATTTGGAACCGAAATGTTCCCTCCAGAAAGCTAATCAAGCGAAAAGCACTTCAGGAAAAGGTACAGGGACAACACAAGGACACAGAGTAAGAGATAAGCAAAAACCACATGGAGAGCAGCAAAAGTCAACAGACTTGGTAGGGGCTAGAGGAAAATCAAAACTTCCTGTAAAGGCCAGCTCAGTAAAAGGAGTCACTTCACAAAATAATCTCCAAAGCAATACAGGGAGTAAAGTGAGAGTGGCTAGTAAGCCTGAGAAAACAAAACAAAATAATTCTTCTCCCTGCCTAGAAGCAAGGTCTAGGATTCCTGTAAAAAATAAACATAGGACTAATCTAGCTAGAAGAACTCCAGCCCTGCCAAAACAAGAGCAGGTAGAGAAAGAAAAACCAAAACAGCTTCCTTCTAAATTACCAGTAAAGGTAAGATCTACCTCTGCCACCATGACAACAATTAAAGTAAGGAAAAATCAGCTTAGGGAGGTATGTAAACATTCTATTGAATATTTTAAGGGAATTAGTGGTGAGACATTAAAACTTGTGGATCGACTATCTGATGAAGAGAAAAAGATGCAGTCAGAGGTCTCTGATGATGAAGAAGACAGTACATCAAGGAACACATCCTTATCAGAAGCTACTCAAGTTTACCAGCCTTCCATTACATCGAAGTCTGCTAGAGACATGAGAACAGAGGCAGCATCTATAAAATCAAAGATTGAAAAGGCCGACAGTGAGAGGAGGAGGAGTAAGAGGACTGGTGAGAATGAAGGCAGTCAGGTTTCTGGAGCTCTCATGGCTCACCTCGTGGAGATCAAGCCTAGTTTGTAAAACTTTCAACTTGTTGATCCTAGTGCATGAACTGTTGTGATTGCCTGTGGAGTGACTTAACTGTAGTTTTCATTCTGTCATTGTCATCTGTATGTGCTGTCTTATACTCTTCTTTCTTCCTTTAAACAAGTCCTGTACTGTAGAAAGCTAGTGAAGCATGCCGGACATTCATGTAACTCAAAAATTGATGTAACTCAGAAATGGAAAGATTTCTTTTGTGACAGCAAATTTGTTCTGTCAAAGTAGAGAAAATAGATCATAATCTGGTCTTGGTGGTTTCCACCAGTAATTGAACAACTTGTGTAACTCTAACAGGTAGATTGTCAGCATGTTTGGTTTCATTACACGACATCATGTAGTTTGACATTTGGCTTTACACAGGTGGAAATATAAAAGCTGTGGAAAAAATTTGCTTTGTAGGTTATTAGGACACACAACCATTCTAGTAAACAATATAAGCACTGGCAACTTAGTCAAATTAAAGCTATTATTTATAGTAAACTTGTCCGGTACTGTGGTCTTCTGTGCAAAACCTTTTTAATCAAGAAATTGTAAATCACAGGTCCACAGAGTCCATGTGAACGGACAGATATAAGGATGGCAATTGTAGCCGATCACCTAGGCCTCAGCTGGACAGGTAAGCTTTTCTGCTTTAATATTGAAATTAGTCTTCACTATTACAGTTTCAGGTAGTCTTTTACCAAAAGCCTCAGCAAGACCGCAACAGGCTCTCCCAAACTCCCAGTGAGCCCAGGCTCCCAAAACATGTAACACATTGCTGGGCAAGGATGCATAATAGGAAATAGCTGTGAAGAATTATCCCATGGTCTTGCAATAAACCAAACTAACTTGTAGGAAAAATAGCGAAAATGGCTCTCCTCTCAAGACATTCACCCAAGGAGTCGAGAGGATGTATCTACTCAGGCTCAGGGCTGCCTCTCTGTGTGGACAGCAGTTTCCCCAAAGCCCTGGAGGTTGCAGGGAGCCCAGCAGTGCCCCAGCAAGTCAGTGCCGTGGGCGGGGTGCCTCCCTGTATGCCCACCATACCTCCTTACGTTGGTGTGCAGAGCTGGCCCTTCGTGGGCTTACAGCTGCAGCAGCCAGTTCTCTCTGGGCGTAGGTGACGACAGCACCGGTGCTGAGCTGCACGGCGAGCTCACAAAGGAGTAATGGTTGCCAGAAAAAAAACATATTTTATAAATTAGCGGTGATGAGGTAGTCTCCATGGAGCTTTTTTCCACCATGTTTAAGTGGCTTAGTGGATATAAATATGATAGTAGCTCACAGAGATGATGGAAATCCAAAATTATGTCTGTCTTAGGAAATTAAAGTATGAGTATATAATGCCATGTTCATCATTATATGTGAAGTTTGTGTCAGGTAGTTTTGTTGACATCTGTGTGATCCAAGAAAGATAATATTTTTAAGCCTGACAGGATGATTGAGGGATTTGCGCTCTGGTGTTTTTGTTGTTGTTTTCTTTTCTTGCTTGCTTTTTTTTTTTTTTTTTGTCTTTATAGAACTGGCAAGAGAACTGAATTTTTCTGTGGATGAAATAAATCAAATCCGAGTAGAAAACCCAAATTCTCTTATTGCTCAAAGCTTCATGTTATTAAAAAAATGGGTTACCAGAGATGGGAAAAATGCTACAAGTAAGTTCAAGTAGTTACTTTTGTTGTTTATAAGTTATAGCCCATTTCATCAAAGACGCCATTAAGAATGTCTTTCGCAAGCCAATGATGGGGGGAAAAAAAGTCCCAGTTACATTTTTACCAGAAGTCGGAAACGTGTCATGTTTATTCAGTATATGTGCAGAAGGAAATAATCTGTTCTCCACATCCATAATTGATGGCACAAGTAATGAACTTAAATTCCAGTAAAGAAAATTTTAGGGAAAACTTTCCAATAATAAGGAATGTGGAACATGGTAATAGTCTCACAGTATTGCTGGTCATAAGAAAAGACTAAACCTTCTGTGGTGGAGACACTGATTCTGTGCTGATTCTGCTGGTTTTATCTTGCATTTCACTTGAATTGCTCAAACTGAAAGAGAGGTTTTGATTTTTGTGTTAGGTCAATGGTGTTCATTACCATTCTCTAATCCACACACCCCTACTCAGTATTTGAGTCTACTTCGATCTCTTTCACCATAAAAGTAATTTCCAGTGTTACTGTGTTCTTGCAACAAGATTATTGCAAATGAGATTTCATGATGTACTGCATGAATAGCCGTACATGCGTTATTACCTACATGGCTACCTATTCTGTTGTTCTTTGAATGGTAAAAGGATTTTTACAATCCTTTTTACACCCCAGTGAAAGGAGATTTTGTTTCAGTAATAAGTAAATATGTTCTTTAAGAACTCTCTGACCTTATTCTTTGTGCCTTTTGTGTTGTCATATACTGGGGGAGGCAGGGGGGAGGGAAGACTCTTAGTAGGTTTATAACTTGAATAAGTAGGCAGCAGAATGACTGCTAAGACAAATGATGGGGTTTGCTGGAACTGAAGGCATTGGGACAGAAACATATGCCAGCAATTTGTAATTAATGCAATGTGAACGTAACTGAGAAAGTTGATTACACAGTTCTGCAACGCTGAACTTTTTTCTGACGTGTCTTGTTTGTTTTTCAGCTGATGCCTTAACTTCGGTATTGACAAAAATTAATCGAATAGATATCGTGACCCTGTTGGAAGGACCAATATTTGATTATGGAAATATTTCAGGCACCAGAAGTTTTGCAGATGAAAATAATGTTTTTCATGATCCCATTGATGGTAATTGAATTCCATGGTCATATTTAGTTCAGTGACATGTCCAATAACACAATAATGTTGTGTAAACTAGAGTTTAAGAAAGGACTACAGAAGTTTTTAAAAAGTTCTACAGAAGTAATCGGTTTTGATGTGAAGGGCTTTTCTTCTCCTAAAGCATGCTCATGGTACGATACATAGGTTGCACATTAATATCTCCAAGATGAAGCCCAGGGTGCCACAAATGTATGCCTGAGTAAGCTTGTTCCCACCAGCCTCAGAGTGAGTTGACAAGACCTGAATGTTTCTCTCCTGCAATAGTTGTGCTTTGAGACTTGCTCATGTATATTTTTAATGTACTTGGTATTGCATGCTTTCCAGGTTACCTGGAAATACACCTATCCTTTGGTTTCCTGTCTAAGTAACAGTAAGAATTCTTCTTCAAAGAATTCAAAAAAAAAAAGAAGAACAAGGAGAAAGAAGTGCTTAGTAATTGCATAGGGTAAATTAATGTGCAATTTACTACCAAGCCTCTTTGAGACAAGTGAATATCGATTACTTTATGATGTTTCACTTGGACCATTTCTACAGTGGCATTACTGCGTGAGAGAATGTCTTTTTCAGTCGTCTAATGGGTAAAATTGTGTAATAATTTTCACATGGAGGCTGTACCAACTGAGAACAGAATTGTGCAGGTTGATTTTGAGCCAGATTAAAAGGATAAATGAAGTTCTCCTTGTAAAACAGAATTGCCATAGGTATTCTTATTATTCATCAGTATGTTGAAGATGCTAAATGTTGTTTTTTCTTTTAAATGTTAGTTAACAGGTACTGGGTTGCTGCATTCTTTATTTTTGTCACATGTATAGCTCCTTAAATAAGTTTTTTTTTCTTTTGTAAATAACGTTTCCTTTTGTTTTTGTAATTTTTTCAAGTATGCGTTTGGCTTTCTCTGTATTTTAGTAGGATTTTTTTTTTTTTTCTTTCAAGCATATTAGATCAGTGTACCTCCATTATTGAGCAGCATTGCTGGTCATTGTATCATTGCATTACAGAAGTAATTTTCTGTTGACATTTTAAGAAAGTTGCTCTTGAAATGTTGCTTGTGCCTTTTAATAGTAGCATCAATGCTTTTTTGAAAAAAATACGCTTCTCTGCAGTTGCTTTCTGTCTCTCCTCTTCTCTGAACCTTCCTCAAGCTTCCTTTCCTCACCAAGACCAGACCACCTTTGCCTTTCTCTCAGCTGATTCAGGAAACAAAAGACCAAGCCCAATTAATGCACCTCCCTTTGCAGGCAGCACAATGTCCAGTTAACCCCACGGCATGTATTTTTTTTCCTTTCGTAGGTTACCCAACCTATCCTTTGCTGGAATGTGAACTTCAGATTTTGTTGTCATTTTAATGTGTATATTCAGTTTAATCATTTTGTATGGTTTTCCCATGTTTTCATCAATTTTTCTTTTCTTTTCTCTCTTTATTTGATCAGTGTATCTGATTGTACCCATGTCACCAAGATCAGCTCACTCTCCAAGATCACCAAGATCTCCTTATTCGCCACAGTCCTCTCACCTGTATAACTTCACTGTACCTGAAATATTCATATAGCTCTCCCTTGTTGTGTTTGTGTTCTCTTACCCCTTTGTTAACTTCCTTTTTTAGTTTTTTATCCTGATGTGTATTTAGATATACTATTCTTTAGTATGCTCATTAGGATCCATTTCTGTTCCTCATTCTTTAACTATTCCATTCTTGTGGCTCTGTGGTTAAATTGGAGATACATCTTAGTAACGTTGTATTGCTGGTATTGTGTATTTTTTAAATAAAAGTACATTAAAAATGTGGACCTCTTTAGAAATAATACCTACTGACAAAAAGTGGCTGTCCTATGTTACGATTTACTTCTCTCTTTAAAATACATACATGTTAAACTTCCAAATTTAAAAAAATAAAAACTGGGAAAGAAAGATTTATACAATATGGCCGCAGAAAATTGTGTTGGATTTAAACGGACAGCCACCCTTGTCCACATTTGATTTATTGCATGCTCATAAGACAACCTGCTATAGCTTGAAAATGTTAAAATGGCTGCGGAAACAGTTGCTGTAATCTATACAGACTATTGACAAAATAGTCAAAAGTACTGGCTTCGCTGTACTATTCGCTGGCAGTACTCATTTTTTGTTCCATCTGTTTAGGACAAAGTAAAGAAATCTATCAGAACTGCATTTGCTCTTATACACTGCACCTCCTCATACGTTTCATATTTTACGTAACTCACGAATCGTTTGATATTTGCTTATTTGTTGCTCCATGCTTCATCCCAGTCAGTCCAAATGTGCTGTCTTCCTTAGGTTATCCCACCATTCAAGTGGAACTGGAAACTCCCACTGGGTTGCGCTTCGTGCCGCCCACCCCTTTCCATCAGGACGATTTCTTTAGCGACACCTCTAGCCTAGAGTCACCCCTTAGAACTCCCAGTAGACTGAGTGATGTGTTAGTGACCTCCCAGGGACATGTAGATGGTACAGCAGCAGCACCACCAGTGGTGACTGAAGAAGACACTTCACTGGACGACAGCAAACTTGATTTCTCAGTGCCTAGAGAAGGAACACCTAAAGAAATTTCCGTAGGCGAGAGCCAGTTGGAGGAAGTGGACCTTAAGGATTTTCCACGGTATCTTGGTAGTTATGGCGGGATATCAAAAGATGCTAAACAAAGGCAGAGTGAAGAGACTAGTAAAACAGGAGTAAGGACTGAACAGCCTGAGAGAGAAAAGTCTGGTACTGATGAGGAGATGACAGAAGAAAAGCTTAAATCTCTGTTTGAGGACATTCATCTGGAAGAAGGAGCTGAGTCTGAGGAGATGACGGAAGAAAGAGTATGGTCAATTCTTAAAGGTGTTCAACAAGCAGAACACGAAATGTCTTCAATTACAGGTTGGCAGACTGACTCATCAAGTGTCACCGAGCCACCGACGTCGGGACGCAGAATAGGTGGTAGCCTGCTAGATCGCTTGGATGATAGGTGAGCATCTTTGTATAAGAGTGTGTGTGTGTAAGCAAGCCTTCCCGTGCTGCTTTTACCTCCAGGAGCAGTGCCGAGGCTGCTGTTCTACTATTCTGTGTATCTATGCATATATATATGTATTTAAAAGAAAAAGTAATAGTTGGCTTGATTTGGCCTCAGATGTATTTGTCTTTAAAAATGTATACTATCAGGTTTCCTTCTTAATATAGGTATTTCAGAAGTAGTTTATATTATGTTTACTGGATAATACTACTATTTGTGTTCTTTATCTTGTGTATTTCTATTTTTAATTAATCTAAGTGATGCGTAGATGTAACTGGAATCGAGGACTATAAAACGTACGTTACCTGAAACCAGGATGCCACATGACTCTTATTTCTCGAGTACCTTTTTAGCATTCATCCTTCTCATTGCATCTCTTTGCGTTCCCTCGGATAGTTGTTACGTTTTCCATAAGCCAATTTTTAAATTGTCACTGTTTTTACACCACTTATTTCAAGTGTGTTATGTCATGCCGATTTACTAGACTTTCAAAGAGATCAGTTACAAGTCATAAGAAAGTAAGAATGGTAATACCAAATCTGTCTAGTCCCATATGTTGCCTCCCAGCAGTGACTCCAGAGGATGCTCAGGGAAGGAGAGTGGACGTATACGCTGTTTTCCTCCAGTACTCTCCCAAGCTCTGCTTGCTTTCAGCATAATGACCTGCTGAGATGGATACTTTCTACATTTTTATCCTTAATGCATTTCTCTTGCATGAGCTTTTCCAGCCTCCCCTTGGACCTGCTTAAGCTTTCAACATTCACAGTATGTGGTGGCATGTTCAGCCTTACTGGTACCCACTGGGTGAAGAGCTCCTGCCTGCCTTTGTTTTGAACATGGCTCTCATGATTACTAATTGAAGGAGCCAGGTCTGCATGAGCTGTAAATCAGCAGAGAATGATTATCTGCAGAGTGATTGTTTGTCTGTCAGAAGTCTACATCCTTTGCAGGTTTGACTCTGGGTGTTTTAAGGTTCCAGGTAGCATTAGATACTCTGCTATTGAATCCAGGGGGAATCTGGCCGTTGATTTCAGCAAACTAATTGTCTTTCAGGACTGTAAAGCACTTGATCTGCTACTGAGGTGATTTCTGTTCTGTTAAGTAGGCATTTATAAATGTGTTAATAAAATAGATCACTTCTAGAAGTAAAAGGGCTTCCTTAAGAAGATAACATACCCATTTCTCACCGGAAGAAATCATTTTGCTATCTTCTATAAGGGTTTTGCCAGCAAATGGCTGTACTATTTTCATGTATACAGTCCCAGTGTTTATCTGAAAGCAAGCAAAAATGCAAGAGAGAAGAAAATTGTGCATCAGAACTGCAGGTTAAACCTGTCTGTAGGTAATCTAAGGGAAAATTTTGGTCAGTTTTCTATCTTGTAGTAACCTTCCTTGCCTTTGGCTTTGTGTTGAAACTCTATGCTGTCTAAGGATTTATTTTCAGATACTAATATTTGTTAAAATGTATGAGTTATCTGGAGTGCAGATATTGCAGGTTGGGGGAAAAGTAACATTCTTTTTTGGTCATTACTGGTAGTTGCAGGGTAACAGACACTTTCACAGGCCCTTGGTTAGAGAGCAGGTTAAAGATTTAGTGTCTCCGGGATTTATCTTTTGATTATACAAGGGAAATGGTAGGTTTTTTGTATTTTTCTTCCTCTTTCCTTTCTGCCTCTTCTCCCCCCCACCCCCCCAGGTGAAAGGGTATTAACATAAAACATTTGGCCTTATTTCCAGTGTTCACCATATTCTTATTGTTTCTGAAAAGATAACCATGATGCAGAAGACAAGGCTATTAAAAAGATGGGTGTTTGCAAGCTGAATGTAAAATTTTACTTTTCACTGTCTGAAATGTATGTGCTCAGAAAGAGGCTCAGTGCTTTGCCCATCGGTGTGTGATTTAAGCACTGAAAGGCTGTCTGTTCTTTTTCTCTTGTAGCTCGGACCAATGTCGGGATTCTGTAACCTCGTATGTCAAAGGAGAAGCAGGGAAGCCAGAAACAAATGGAAGCCTCTCTGAATCCACAGCAGAGACGAAAACTAAATCTTACATCCAGGAATCTTTAAATGATGTGGGAAAACAGAGTGACAAAGAAGCCCTGAAAACAAAGCCCCAAACTTCAGCTGGTACTGATGAGCAAACGTTATCATCAACAGCATATCAGAAATCTTTGGAAGAGACTAGCAAGCCAACAACAGAAGGCAACAAAACATCTGTGCCTGTCAGTGTGAAGAAGATGAGCTGGAGTACTTCTGAGGATGGCAAGCCAAGAACAAGCATCCAAGAGGAGGAGGGAGCAGTAATGTCTGAACAGAAGGTACAGTATGTCCTGTAATTATTAACTGTGTGAGGAGTCCCTATTGCCTGACATAATTTTTTGTAAGACTTGTAATGTTGTTTGTGACAGGGTGGGATTTTTTTAATCCTTCTTTATGCCTTTTCTATTTATTGCTAAATTAAGAAAAATGGAAGTTAGTGGAAATCTGTATTCTGAAGTGTGACTATAATGAGGTGGAGCTGGGGCAGGCAGGGGAGCCAAGCAGGGCTGCATAACCCTCTGCCTGGCTGGCCCTGAGTCCTGGAGGAGGTTAGAGCAGCTTCTGGGGCCGCTGTCCTGCATCCCTGAGGAACAGGCCCCTTTCCTGCCTGACATGCCACCTGTGCAAACAGTGCCAAACAGCTCAGCTGTCTTCCATCTGCTGCCAGTAAGGCGATGCCACTGGTTTCCACTCTTTCTTGTGACATTAAAGTGAGCAAAGAGATACAGGGACTCTTCAGCCCCTATCTTGCTCCTTGTCCCCAACACCACCTGCATTTTTTTACTCTGTTAATTTGCAGAAAAATAAATTTTGGGTAATATTTAATCTCCTCCTTCTGTTTTTTGTTTCATGGCCTCATTCATCCCAAATCCAAAGTGCGTCCAGCCAAGAGGAATCAAAAGATTTCCAAATGTGTAAAGCACTTTTCCAGGTGGTGGTTCTTTCTTAAAATACTGCGGAGGGGCTCCCCTTTGTTTCTACTATGCCCGGCTTGCACATCTGTAACTGTGGAACCTCAGTTATAAGTTGTTTTCTGACAATGAAGATTTTAATAGCTTTCTCAGTGGATTGTATTTATTTCCCAGAAGCTTAAAAGTAAAGTTGATTCAAAGAATGGCTTATAGCCCTTTAGCTGCATGCACCTCACACCCCAGCAGTGGGAGGATTGCCACAGAATAGACCACAGGGCCAGCTGGGAACCAGGCTGAAAAAGGGAATTGCAGAGTCTCTTCTACATTCCTCTCTCTGCTGAGATTGTCTTTTCCCGGGTGTAATACAGGAGGAGGTCATAACTTCTGAAAGTGAGGTATTTCAGTAGGATTGCTTCTACATGATACAGCTTTTTTTTTTTCTTATTGTAGCACAATAAAAATGGTGGCTGTGGTGGGCTGCAGTAAATCATTCAGGTTTAAATTAGTTCATTTTAAAGTATTCTTTCGATTATACAACCAAGAATTCTTTTATTAGATGGTATCATAATTAGTCTCAGCAGTTGTGCAGCATATGATTGTTATTATCTTGTTATTAGTTCATGACACAGTTGAAGCAGCGAAGATCTTTCCTAATGTTCACTAATTACTGGAATACTTAAAAAATGTAAGTAAGAACCTTCTGCAAAGGCAGATGGCAGAGTTCCTTTAGTGTCAGTAGGTTTTGGGGCAGACCTCGAGCTGATATTATTATCAGTTTAAACACAGGGGTAAGCATAGATGCACACTGTAACATTCTGAGGGTGTCCAACAGTGCTGCACTTCCCCCTCTCGATTCCCATCAGTGAGAAGGTAAATTGTCATCCACTTTGTGTTCTCTTTACTTCTGGATATGCCGTCTGCATTGGGAAGAATAAGTGCGTGCTTTTCTTATGCATGCTTTTTGCACTACTTTTGCTTATTAGTAAAGGGTGATAATCTTATCTTACAAATAACAAGTCTTTTTATAGACGTGACCTTTGGATAAACTGGTATCAGAAAATAATGTGACTTCTAAATGTGGGTCTCTCACAAAGCCTGAATGGGTAACAAACTAGTGTTTGTTAGAATGACAACAAGAATTGCTTCTCATATCTTGTCGATATTTCTTCAAGAATATCTTCTAACGTAATTTGAAGCCAATAGTTTAATTACTAACACCGTCAAATTCATGGTGAGACACTTCATGTGCTGTCATGAAAACAGAAAGAGGATTTCAACTGCAGTCTTTCTGCAAAGCGTTCAGTAATGCTCCATAAAGAGAAAAGTATGGAAGAAACAGATTTATTTCTGTGGAAAGAAAGGGGAAGCAAAATAAAAATACTTCCCGAAGTAAGAGATTCTTTTCTATGACCCACTGGGAAAGAGCTAAGGAGCAGTAGTCCTCCACCTGCAGGGTGAGGGCTGCGTCGGTGTTTTGGCACATGGTTTGCAACAAGAGATAAACTCAGACAATTGATATTGGGCTGCTGCCAGGTGATATGGATGAAACAAATTGTTGGCCTCACCCCAAGTCCACAGAAATGTCCAAAAGCTTACAAAAGCAGTGCAGTGACAGTCTAGGCCATATAATTCTCTACAATTGCTCAAGCATCAGATTCCAGTGATCTTTTTAAATGAGAGGAGCACAGCAGTTGCTCTATTATCCCAAAGAAGGTGACGTCCAACGCGTGGTCAAGGGGACTCCCAGTGTCAGAATTCCATCACAAATAAACCACTTGAAGCTGTTCGTTAAAAATAACTCTTCCTCCAAAACCCTCATGCCCTCTGGGAATCTTCTCCTGCTTCTTGTTACTTCTTCAGGATAGGGTTGGATTATAATTTTTTTGTATATATATTTGGCTAGTGTCAGAGGACAGCAGGAGACTTTACAGGCAGATGAATACTGTCGTGCTGCCATAAATGCTTTTTGTTACATAGTCCTTTTTCTCCTCCACCCACCTATGCCTACTCTTTATTTTACACATCTTTTCTGAGCAATGCTTCTTGCTTGGGATGTCTTGGGCCAGATTCAAAAAGAGAAACAGAAATACAGTTAGCAGTCTCCACTGTTCATGACTTTAAAATAAGTTTTGGGCTTTCTTTCAAATGTCTCTATTCAGAAAAAAAGTTGGTTCAGCCAGACATCGTGTGAGAAGGGCCTCTGCCCTGTGTCCGTCACACGAATTAGGTATGAAGCCCTCTGCCAGGCATGTGCACACAGAGCTGCTCAGCCCCAAAGCTGAGGAGCTCCGTGGGTTTCGGAGGGGAAAAGACTGGGGCTGTCAGAGGGCACCAGGACGGAGGAGACGCCTGCATGTGGCTGTGGTACCTCCCAGCAGCAAGCTGAGCCCAGCATCAGGCTGTTGCCCCTCATCCCGAGCTGAGGTCTACCAGTTCCTTTCTTAAGAAATACAGAATGATTGTACTTCACATTACAATTATGCTGCTTAAAAGCAGATAAATACTGAACAGGAAAGCCATTTACATGGAGAAGTTCTTCAAAATGCTTATTTGTAGTTTCCTTTGTGGAGGTACTCTGCTGCATCTTTCTATGCGACTGTTGCCTTTCTTTATGAGGGAATTCACTTCCCATGCCTTGTGAATCCATACAATTTGTTTGAAACATTAATTTTGGAGGAGAAAAAAGCAAGCAATTATGAGAAGGGTTTTTTGTACACAAAATTTTTCACAACTACGTAAGATGTGGAAATTCCAGAGGTCAGATGCATTCCAAATACCATTTTCTAAGACTTAAGAGCTGCTGAGATACTCCATACCTGGTATACTTCCCAAGCTACAGCAAGCCAAGGAGCAAAAAGGCCTCTTCCCACTATATAATTTAAAAGTAAAACTGCGAGTCATTATGTGCATAATAGAGACAGGAAAAACACTGTCCATGATAACCTCTGTTTTCTTCTCCTAGTCCTGATCAGCATGTTCTGTCTTGCAAATGTGCTGTTCAAATGTACTAAAACTGCATTTATTAGGAATGTAGTGACAGTGAGATTGAGAGTGATTCGAGCTCAGATGAAGAGCAGAGAATTACTACAAGAGTTTATCGACGGCGGTTGATTCTGAAGGTATTTTGTGATTTGTGTTCCTGAGGTGACGCTGGCATGGCCATGGGTTTGGGCTGCTGTGTCAGAATGTCAGTTTTGGCATACTGGAGTCCCTCTGGTAGTGTGCTTTCCATTGCCAGTATGTGCTTATAACTGAGTGCTGGGTGGCCTTTCCCTGCTTAACCCAGAGGTTTATGGTTGTCTTCTGCTGGAAAACAACTGTGCTGCACAGCATGTTTTGTCCTTCACTGCCACTGTTTTGCATGGCATCTTAAAGACTACAGCTAGATACATTGGTCCGGTGTAGAGCAAAATGAATTGCAGACAGACATGGGTGACATTTTTTTTTTTGTCCTTTTTTTCTATTTTCTTTCAAAGATTCTAAATTACAGGTTGAAAAATTGCAGGAATGTACGAGCAGGATATAGGAGAGTATGAGCCATGTACTCTGGTTGAAACTTGTGGTCCTAAGTGCTTAATGTGTTGTGGGAAACCTCCTCAAAACAGCAGGTGATCCTGATGTTGAACCTACCGAAGTTAGTAAGAGTCTTTGCATTGCCTTCAGTAGGCTTTATTTAGTATATTTATTTACAGATGGCCTTTATTTACAGCGCAATATACTTTATATACTGATAACAATGGCATAGTCATATAAATAATTGTATTTTTTCTTGTATGGTCATATAGTGTGGCATTATTTGCCCTCAGCATATAGCATAAGAAAATAATTCTGCCTCAGAAACCATTATCCCTCAGTAACTTACAGGATTTATTAGATTCTTATTAGAAAATCTAGTCAAGACATGAAAAAGGCAGCGAGCCACCATAATGCTATTACAGCCCTAGCTGAGTTTGCCTAAGATACAATTGTTACTTTAGGAAAGACCGGTGACACTGTGATTGCACAGCTCTGTATTGCTGTTACCTGCATGCGTTGTGGAGAAGAGTATGCGCACAGGCACTGCACCTTTTGTGTAACATGGATGGCAGACAGGCTGCTCTGCCCAGCTGCTGATCTCTCCGAGACACAGCCACTTTGGGAAAAGGCAGGATGACATTTCTGACTGTCTTCACCCTGAACTTCTTCGGTATACCAGTCGTGCTCCCGTTCGGGGCAGGGCAGGAATTGCAAAAATGAGCTCAGAAGAAGTGAGTATTTTTTCCGATACCTCATCTCTACAGGCGGAACCTGCTGCCTTCCGTGCAGGGCCCTGGGCAGGTCAGGGTATAACCTTCATCAGTAATTCCTGCTGCAGATAAGACATGATGGGTCAGAAATAGGAATGTGGTTTCTGCTTTCAAATGGGGCAGGCGGCCTGTGGGCAATTACAGACCCTCGAATGCTGTAGGAGCATTTCTGGTAAGACATAAAGTATCCGTGTGCTGAAAGTTTTAAAAGCCGCACAGTTGGCCTGTGGCTGAGGTCCCCCACCCAATTTATGTCTGAACTATTCTGGTTTCCACTGGTTTGGAGTCAGGAAACGTCTGAGTAGAAAAGGGAAACTATGTAAAAGGCAGGCTTCACTTTCCGAGTACATCCGCTGTGTTTAGAGAAAGGCCTAGAAAATTGTTCAGAAACGTGGTGGTATAATTTGGGGTTGAACTTTTAGCAGAGCAATGGTAAAGCAGCATATATAGTGGTGTATTCCTCAGCTAGTGCAGATGCAGTTGGGAGGGTGTGCATGGGGAGTGGAGGCGGCTGAACCAGCTCTGTTGGGAATGTGTCTGATCTGAACTGGATAAGAGCTATACCTGTCGCTTGATTAGAAAATACATGTGATACTTCTGTCATTTTTCTGATCATTTATAGCTTCTTTTTTATCCCCCACTCTGCATCTCAAGACAAGCTTAAAACAGAACAAGAAGAATTTTCAAAGCAGCAAGCAATCATCACGCCTTTTGGAGAAAGTTTGATAGTGGAAACAACCATTTCAATAGGTATATTTTGATCATGTAAAGTTCATGAAACGGTGGTATAAAATGGAAGAATCAAGCTTTAACATTGGTAGGGGTCTGGACTTTAATTTCTGCACATTCCTGGGAGCAGACGTTCATTCTGGGTGAAGTGAAATCACTGCGAGGTCATGCAGAAGCTGAGGAACAGCTCTTTGGTCGGGAAAGAGATCTCAGGATACAGTGCTTGGAGGCTCTCAGCCTGCAGAGTAAAAATAACTCCCATGTTTCTGCCACCGGGCTCGGAGCAGCGGTCGGGAGCAACAGGTTCTCACCTGCCCCCGTGCCCGAGTGCCCAGCGAGCGAGTGCTGTGCCTGACCCCGCAGCCCCGGTGCTCGTCTCTGAGGCTCGCGCTGAGCGGGGCTGGCATCGCTTGCATGGAGCAGCAGCGAGAGGGGAGTCAGGCTCTCCTTCTACTCCTGTGTTTCTGACGCTCCTGGATAGCCAAATAGTCGCTAAGGAGCGACGCCGGGTAGGAGGCAGGGACATTTCCCCCTGCTCTCCTGCCGCGCAGGCAGCAAGCCTGCCACACACTGACGGTGAGATGCCCCGGTGCTTTGCTGCAGTCACGCCTGGACCGGGGGAGTACTTATCCTATACTGTCTTATGTTATGGTTACTTAGGAGACAGCTCTGGAAATCTTTGTTGAGTTTGCGTTCTCTAGAATAAAACAATGGTTTGAACATCTGAAAAAAACTGGTTGCAGGCTTCATAAATGAATGGCAGTGCTGTGCCCATGCTGTGAGCCCACTCTGCTGGCTTGTGCCGACAGCGGCAGTGGGCACGAGATGACTGTGCACTTGGAGGCTCCGCTGGGCAGAGCTGCACTCGGGATCTGCGTTGTTTCACTGTAGCATATATTCATTACTGCCTGCGTGTTGCATTAAAAGCAACAGAGGTGCTCACGTAGCCTGCAGGGATAAAGTTTGGTAACACCAAAACCTTGAGGGTAAATTGAGTCCTGTGGAAAAAAGACTTTGCTATGTGCCTCCACAGCTACTCTCAGGGATGAATTGCTTCATTACCTTTGTTCTTCTTTCCCAACTTGTTTTTCCTTTCAGTGCTATTCTGCATTACTGCTAACACTATTATTTCCGTTTAACTGCTACCTTAGTTCTCTGTCCTGGCCCAAATAAGGAGAAAGGCTTTTCTCTCCCCCGGAGGTATTTTCCCAGCAGTCCGAGAGCCGAGTCCTGTCAAGTGTTCAGCACTCTCAAGCACATTCCCATGGGATTTAGCACTTCAGAGGGCTGAGCCCATAAAACCAGACAAGCAAGGACTGATGCCCATTTCCACATGTAATAGGATCGTATTCTAACCTCAAGGTAGTGCAGATGTTTTTGTTTTTGCTTCCTTTCCCCTCTTCTGTTCACATGGCGGATTGATGGGACAGGGCATTGCAAAAGAAATGGGTTTTTATGGTAGCGCAGGAAGGCGAGCAATTAGCACACAAGGGAAAAATAAGAGTGCTGCCACAATGTGCACATTCAGAGCCTGATCCAAAGCTCCCTTTATTCAGTCATGACAGAAATCAGTGTCTAATTTTTCATGCTTTTTCAGAGTTTGTTACATCTTTCATGGGTACAAATTTTTGGCAAAAACTGTTCAGTTAGATTTTTGCCAAAAGGCTTATGGTAGAATTTTATAATGGAAAACAAAATAGATTTCTAGGTGGGGGTTATTCAAATCTGACATTATTTTGTATCTTGTACTTTTGTTATTTCTTGCCAATTTTTATTAAAGATCGATTTGTCCCTTTCCATGTGTTTTCCCCATGAACCCCCCCATTACTGATTGCGGAGGGTTTGATTCAGCCTGCATGGGAGAAGTGGCACAGGAGCCTGAGCAGCAGTCAGTCAAAACTAGAACCAGCAGCTTTCAGGGTCTTATTATTCAGAGGAAACTTATTTATGGAAAGTGAAAATATGGCTATGCTGTAGGTGAGAAGAATTAAGAAGCCTGTGCCCCATGTGAGGTTTCCTTTTGTGTACTCAGCTGGGCGCAGCCTCTCTGCTGCAGTTCCTCCCAGGCTGGGAGAGCTGCAGAATTGCTCTGCTCTCTACATGCCCTCACCCTGTCTCGCCCCAGGAGGGACTGCCAGGTCAGAGCTTCTGGCCTCAGTGAGATAACACCGAGGTAAATTATAACAGCACTTGTAGTCTGTGTTTTAAAGTCTGTTCATCATGTTGTCCTCCATGCAACAAGCAACAGACCCAGCTCCCAGTGTTGGACCGTCCTCTGCCCCATTTGCAGCACTGTGTCCTCTCAGGTCTCCTTGGCTTGCCTGTTGGTTTGTTGTGGTCCCCACCATGGCTTTAGCAACACATCTACAAACAAGCAAGTACAGACTCGGCACAGGCGCTGGCAGAGAGTCGTGGCGTCTGATTAACAAGGTCTCCCTGAGTAGGCAGAACTCACTAATGAAAATGACCTTAATGAAAGATGTTTGTTTCTACTGCCACAGAGGCTTGAGACCCCAAGGAGACTGAGGCGCAGCTGCTGTTTATGTGTTAGAAGAATGTGATCTCAAGACTGAAAGGATTATGTCTTGATGGTGGCTTAGGCCAGTAAGGGAAGAGGTCTGAGCGCTCTGTACAGCTCCTGTTCCCATTGCAGCATTGCCCCTGGTCTTTGGCAAAATGAAACATTTAGGATCTTTCCATCTTGTTTATTCCTGTCTGCTTTTAAATTCCTTTTTATCCGTCTGGATAAGAGACATCCAGCTGCACCTTTTTTCTCCACTCTTACAACAACGCTAGATGTATAGGAGGAATAAAAGGGACTATTATCCCTCTAGTAACAAAACAAACATGAAAGAAAACCAGAGCTCTGACAAATATGCAGTGAACTTTGGCACAATATGCAGTACCAACTGTATAACTCCATTTATCTGGAGGTCCCTGGGAACACCCGTAATCTGCAAATAACTGTTAAGAAAATCAGTGGAGCTGGCGGAATACTTTGAGGAAGCTGCTTTTTGCTTCTTCTGCCCTGGAGAGCAGCAGAGAGAGGATACCAGCTGCTTTTGGCAGGACTACACTCCAGCGAGCAGGGTGACATTAAAGCACTCTGCTTTGCAAAGCTTCCTGGCATGTTCTGGGGCTGAGGCTTGCAGACTGCAGCCTTTGTATGGCTTAGTCCCAGGGATATAACCGAGCTTCCAGTAATCGCGGTATTAAGTTTTCTCCCTGCCTTTCTAAAGCTCTTGGTATTGTGACAGTGATTTCGCCTGGTCAAGGGTAAAATGAAGCCCACAGAAGCATGATACAGCAGAAAGAATTTTATTCTTTAGCTGTGACGCAGATGCACCAGCTTTGTGTTTAAAAACAGCTTTTGTTGACAAGGTCATCTAATGTGCTGTTCTAACCTAAAGCTGGTTTGAGATCTGACAAGTGAAACTGCCAGTGGGTAAGGGTTCTTTTTCCTAGCAAACATCCGTCTTTATAGCTGCATAGGATTAGACACGTCAGTAAATCAGATCTACCTCCTGCCAATTGTGAGCCCTCCTGCAATTTGTTCAACTACCCACCAGCAAGAGAATTGTGAAAGCTGGATTTCATGCGTGCTGACTGCAGAGTATTTACAGCTTTTATCCTTAAACTGTGCTTAAAGGAGCATGTAGCTAATTAAAAAACAAGATTCACCATACCTTTAAAACTGCATTTTCTTCCAAGAGCCGACTTTCAGTGCATCAGTACATTTTTCATTTTAAAGCTGAACACAGTAATTCTCTGTAACATGTTTTAAGGAACAACCTTTAAGGAGCCTTTAAGGAGCCAAAGGACCGGTATACACAAGAAGTATTGGCATGCCAGGTAGTCTGGTGACCTTGCCACTGGCCATGTTGTTTTATTTTGTTTTTTTATGATTTTTATTGTGGTGGCTTTGGAGGTCCTATTCATGAGAGGGGACTTCTCCATCCCTCTGTGCGCTATGGGGTGGGAGGGACGTCTGGGCCAGGGTTCTGTGCCGGAGCCTGTTGGGGGAGTCTGTGAGCCCATGGTGGGAGGCCAGGAAAGAAACGGTGCTGCTATTTTCCCGTCTGCTGTGCTTCTGATTAACGTATTAAGTCTGAGGATCAGAACGCCGATATTCTCAGAACGCTCAGAACCAGTATTTCCCCCCATTTCATTGTGGCTAGGAAACCCTGCAGGTTTCGGTTCCCAAAACCTCTACGCAGTCCCGGCCCCCCTGCCGCAGCAGCAGGCCCTGTGCCGTTCTCGTTTCTGCCGCCTCGCTCGTGAGAGAGGAAGGAGCAGGCTGCCATGGTTGGGGCCCTGCTCACCGGGGAGCAGCCTCTTGCTTCCCTCCTCCTGCGTGTAGCCTGACGCCGCTGCTTGGGCAGGTGTATAATTTCCCCTCCCGTGACCCCTCAGCGGAGTCCTGGTGAACGAATTGTATGGGCCCAGCCCAGGCTCTGGCTGAAGGCTTCAGCAGCCGTTTGTTCTGTCGTGCTTCTTGTAGGGATGCCACCGTTGGCAGGCCCGGGGACCTCGGCTAAGTCCCTTCAGCCCCAGGTGCACCTCAGACACACGACCTCCACCTTGCGTCCCTGCGCAGGGACGTCTGCCTGGCTGGGGAGCCTGCCCTTCCCTCGGTGATGCTTCCTGAAGCATCCAAGCTCCGCAAGTTTTACCGTTGATATATAGCCTGTGACAGCATGGGGAAAAAGACACGTAAAATGTCCAAAAGCGTTTAATTACTTAACGATCAAGTGGTGATTCGGGTACAGCTTTCAAGAAGAAATAAGCAAAAATTCTGCAATCCTGAATAATGCCAAATGCTGACCGGGGGCTTGGTTAGCGGCGGAGCTGCGCGCTGCTCTTCAGTACTCCCCGCTGGCTCCTGCCGGCCCAGTCCCTCTGAGGCGAGGAGGATGGAAAAGCTTGGCTACAGAAAAGATGGCAAATGGCTTGTAAACAAAAGGAGAGGTTTATTTGCTTTAGAGCTTGGAAATAGCATACAGACCTAATGGTATCATGTGCGTATTGAAAAAGGGGAACCATTTGTAGGGAAAATTATTTTAACAAACCCCATGGCATCGCTATATTTTTTTATTAGAGAGCAGTGCTAGGAGCTTATGTAGACAACTATGTAGCTTATAGACTGCAGCAAATAGGAATTATATTTGCCCTGTGCTGCTTAGTACATGGAAGCATTTAGAAAGCTTGATATTGAGCTGTAATAATCTCATTTCAAATACTATTTTGTTGTTAATATTGATGTAACGTGTTTATACGATCTGCTTCCTCTCTCTAGTTGCCATTTTTTTCATAGTGGCTTGAGGGTGAGCGGAAAAGAAACGTTTTAAGGATTTTTTGTTGTGTTTGTTTAAAGGGTTATTCATTTACATGTGGGAATTCTTCACATGCAGGCCAACCACATTATGATTATATTTGTTTTATTTGTTTGAAATAAATAAGCACAGACGATGGATATTTTTGAAGTGTCAAATGCAGTGCTTGCTTCAGCACACAGGTTTGGAAACATGACTTTATGAGGTAAAATTGTCAAGTTTTTCTGGAAGATAAGTTCATTACTGCCAGCTAGCCTTAGACTCTAAAGTAATGTCATTTACTTATAATTTCGACACTAATACTTGTGGTGATATTAAGTCACTAGCATAGCTGTTAGGAAACTGCTTTTACATTTATTTACGCTGGTCCTATAACTTGCTGGTGCTACAAGAAGCCATGGCTGGAGCGCTGCCGATCTCAGTAAGTTGCGCACCAGGCTGCCGAGGCTCCTCGGCGGGTTAGCAGGCATTGCTGTGCCAGGAAAAGCGTCACGTAAGATACCTTCCTCCATTTTGTAAATGCTGAGAAGTCTTGTCTTTTGTGCGTGTGTTTAAGATCTTGTGTGTAACAAGCTATAGGCAGAGCTGTCTTTTTAAATCCCAAATTTCCCCCACCTTATTTTGGTGTTAGACCGTTTTCTGTGTGTGCTGGGCACCGAGAAGCTGTGAAAAGCTAATGGATGTCTGATTAGAGATTATACTGTCATGAATTTGTGCCTCCATGTCATAGGAGTCAGACTTGACCGCAAGATGATTTGTTACACAGAGAGCTTCATGTCACGAATTAGTTAATAAGAGCAATGTGCTAGAAGCTCACTGCAGGCTTTAAGGACACATTCTGTAGAATAAATGCACAGGTATTGGCATGCTAAATGAGCAAGGCTTTCATATTATTTGTGTGACATAAAGCAAACTGTTACATAAAGTTGAAGCTAGCATGTGCTTGTTGCTTGGAGTGGTGTGGAAATACGTGTGGGTTTGGCAGAATATAGGCTGTATTGCTAATCTTATAACACGTTCTTTAGGGTGAGGAAGCAAAAAACATTCCTGGTGAATCTGTAACAGAGGAACAGTTTACCGACGAAGAAGGCAACGTCATCACGAGAAAAGTAATCATGAATTACATCACTGCTCTGAGTCTTTGCATTCAAGTAACTTCTTTTAACATACTTTCTCCCTTTAGAACCCAGGAAAAAAAAAATCAATACTTTTCATGTATTGCTTCCCACAGATCACCCGGAAGGTAGTAAGACGCATTGTTATCCCCCATGAGAGGAAAGTTGGTGAAATGGTAATGGAACGGGGACTGCCAGGAGATAACAGTAGACGCAAAGGGTTGTGTTGACTGCTAGAAAGCGCTGCTAAAGGGCTGGAGGTTTGCATTTAACAAGAAGCCTTGGCAAAGTGTGGTGCTTGCCGTTATTGACAAGTTGTGTGTTTGGGTAGCGGGGCAGGGGCTGTGTCAAGGGGGCCCGGCTGAATTCTGGCACCACAAAGGCATTAAGGTCTGTTTTTGTATAACAGGCAGTGGGCTTAAACCGTAGATTTGGGGCCTGTTTTGTGCCATCAAGATGAGCTGTGTCTGTCTGTGGGTTTGGTCAAGCCCTTGCAGAATTGGTGCCTCACACCCGTAGGTGTAGTGTGTTGCTTTTTCACCAGCCTGAAGGAATGAGCTGCAGCCTGGTCCCCACCAGCCTCTCGCTCACCTGCCGGACACCCCTGTGCTAGTGACCGAGGGTTTGCAGGATTCAGGGGAACATGAACATACCCAGGCAATGGTATCCTCTACAAGCAAGCACCGAGAGGGGATTTTGTCCCTGGCAATTAAAATGGGAAGCCCTTCTGCATGACCGGACCATGCTTCAGAACCCCCAAAAAGGAGGGAGGGCAGCAGAAAGGGCAGGCCTGTCGTGATCCCGCACGCCCCAGCCCCTCTTGCAGGGGGTCCCAGGAGCATGGGCAGGCACGGGCAAGCTGTGCCTCCAGGCGTCCTCTGTCTCACCGAGGCCTCAGGGGAGCGGGCACCACCTCTGGAGCCAGGCGGCCTCAGGGGAGCTCATGCCTTGTTCCTCAGCGCGTGGCCTGGCAGGGCTGCGCTCTGGTAAAGTTGTCATTGGCGCTAATGGAATTTTTCTCTGAGTTAAAACAGATTCAGAAACAAAGAAAGATAACAAATATTCTTTATCTGCTGATAATAAAAAAAGAAAAAAGAAAGGGGGGAGGCTAGACAACACAGAAATGGGGGAGTTGAAACAAACATATTTCCATCTCCTCTTTCATAGTCCTTTATCAGGGAAAAAATAAATCCTGCCCAGCAAAGGGGAAACATTTTCAATTTGCTGCACCAGATTAGATTAGTCGGAAACAACAAATAGTTACAAATACATCAATGCAGATCACCTGGGGGCGAATTCTGCTGATAACCACACATAAACAGATGCCTTTCTCTGATGTGAATGAGGCTTGTGATTAATGGAGTATTTATTTTTAGATTATCATTGAGCTACTTTTAATAACTAAAGATGAACTTTGTTTTGGAGTTTGCTGCTTTAAAGACACTGAAACCTGCACTGCTTGTCACTGTCATTGGTTTTACTTCTGCACTGCTTTGGTAGTGGTTTTTGCTGGCTTTCTTCCTCCTCCCTTTATCCTGTTACTAACCCGCTCACTTTAAAGCACAGACATTGTGAAACATCATAACAGCAGCCATGGCCTCTGCTGTTGGAAGCATCCACCAGTCCTGGCAGGGCCGGGAGGCCCGTTGGGAAAGATGATTTTCTGTGATGGTGGCGCTGAATCCCGCTGCAGTCGATGGCAGGGGCTCTGCTGAGGGCTGCCAGCCAGGCACTGCGGCCCAGGGGTTGTGCTGAAATTGTAGACCTGTGTTTTCACTTGAAGATGATATTTCAGGCCTGTGCTTTTGCAGCTCAGCAGAGTGGATAAGTAGATTGTGTGTATCTTTGAGATGAAGTGTTAATGTGATTTAACTGCTTTTTACTTATCCTGTTACAGCAAAATGTGGAGCCTGTTTTGGAAGCAGGTTTATCATTACAAACGCTCCCTGCAGACTATGTTAATGCTTATACTTTTCCTTTAAAGCAGGGAGAAGCTTATAAGGTTAAGACAAAGAAAGAAGTCAGACACACGGAGAAGAAAAGTTACTCATGAAAGCTGAAAGCCGACGGCTGAACGGTCAGTGTGATCAATTTTCTTCTGTTGCTAAAGCCTTTTGCCAGCACAGCGCTGCGCAGCACAGGTGCTAGCGCCTGGGCTGTGCAGTGGCTGGCCTTCTGCTACCTTGACATTGCTTTCAGGCTGCAAAGGTGAATAGATGGCCCGTGATCCTGTAAGGAGAAAATGACCTTGAGTTTGTGTGTAGAAACTGAGCTTTACTTCTTGGAACATGAAGTAAAGCAATACTGAGGCGTGCGTAAGATTTTGGGGAGTTTTACAAAGTGTAGTGTCTTTAGTCCACGGCACTTTGTGCTCCTAAAAGTCAACTTAAACACAAGTAGTGAAGGAGCTGCACACAAGTAAATCTACTGGGAGTGAAAGGTTTCCTCCACCGTCAGGCATGTGATCTGAGGGCAGTTATGCAAGTCAAAGTCCTTGTAAGAGCCAGTGAAGTGTCTCCGTATTTGCCAACAAATAATCCTTACCAAGTGTTTCTTGTGAATTTTACTGATCCAGACTTAATGATTGTAACAAAGCAGCAGCTGACAGTAAAAGGGCTTCCCAAACTAAAACCAAATGCACAGACTGAGATACCCTTGCCGTGGCTCCGTAACAGCATGCCAGAGCACCATGAAGCCGGAGGCTGCTTTGTCTCAATCACATATCTATATTCACACAGCAAAGTGCCTGTAAACACCAGAGGAGCCAGTCTGTGTCTATTGATGCTGCTCCATCAGTCCTGGCTTCAAGTGTGCATGGTTACCATGTTCATGTCGTTTTTTCTACTCAGAGCTTTTCTTAGCTGTGGTAGGTTTTAGGAACTGGGCAGAGGAAATGTTTATGAAGTGCAAGTCTGTGTTATGCTCTTCCCATACATCTGGTATGGGGTTGACTGTAGGATTTAAGAACAGGAATAACAGGACCTGGAAAACATACCAGATAGTGATGTGGAGGTAAAGGAGAGGAGCAGAGTCTCTCCTGAGTCACTACCCCCTTCCAGCTGTTGTAGTGTAAGGTAGCCCCTAAAGCCACAGGGCCGTACGAGCTTTCTATGCGTGTGAGTAGTGCCATTTGAGAGCAGCAGCACTTGGTGTGTGGGATCTTGCTGAGGGCTCTACAGGATGAAGCCCTCGGGAGCGAGCACTGTGAGGCAACAGGTGTGCTTTCAGCATCTGGTAAGCACCAACTGCGTCCACCTAGTGTGACTGCTGAATTCCTGCTTTTATTGAGAACCCTCCCACATGTGCTAATGGAATAATACCGCTTCACGTGGCTTGCTGCTCAACGTACTCATAAAATATTTAACGTTTTGAAAAGGGAGGTGATTCTTTTGGCATGTCTTTCTCCATCACAGAGCTCAAGGATGCGGGAAGAAAGCAAGCCAAAAGGATGGCGCTGCTTGTATGAAATTGTGTCCCAAGCTGCCTCCTGTGCTTCTCCACTGTCAATCTGCAGGGGAAAACCAGTGGAAATTTGTGGTTTCAAAGGCACTGGAGGCAAGATGGCACACTGAACCCCGCAAGCAGTGCAGATAAAGAGCCTGCCAGCATACAGGCGTGATGCAACACACATTGGGGATAAGGGAGAAGAGTTTCGTTTTAAAATAAAATGGCATTAATAAGGCAGTCCTTGCCTAACTTATGAAACATACTCTGACCTTCAGAAAGCCAGAGCCTGAGTTCCTCACAACCAGATTTGCTCCCATGGCTGCTGATTTCCAGTAGGCAACTCTTCTGTGCTAGAGCCCCCAACGAACTCAGAGTCTTCCTTAGATAATAAGCCTTTACTCGGGTTGAAACTTTGTCCTGTAAGATGAATCTCTGTGGTCCAAACTTTGATATGATAAATGTGACCAAATGTGCATTATGTAATCGTGAGCCCCGTCAAGAGTCTCTTGGGAACATTTTATTTGGATACAGAAGGGAATTCCGATAGAAAACCAGTTTGTTTCTTGATCACAAAAGACAAAAAATCCTGTTCGGGAGGCAGAGGTGTTGATTTTTCTTTGAACGTTTGAAAAAAATAACAATGTTAACTAGATTTTGCTGTAAAAATGTCTTTGGCACCATTGCAAATAAACCTGTTTTGAAGTACAGGTTGAAAGGAAAAGCCAGGAAGTTTTGCATGCAGTTCTGCAGGATGGCTCTGTGCGAGCCAGCGTGACTGCTATAGTGTGAATAGGTGGCTTTTAGCAGCGGGATAGATTTATGACAGCCTTAGATGTGGGCAAGGACAGATTGTTTTAGCAGTGAAGGCGAGCGCGAGCATTCCCGGGGAATGCGTGTGAACCTGTGACCCGATCAGTAAACAGACATGTCCATGCCAGCCTGAAGCCGCTGGCGCTGTGCAAGCCATGCTCCCAAAGAGGCTTCCCTGCGCCCAGGTGCTGGCTGGGGAGCCCGCAGGTCTTCCAGATCCCCTTTGCCGGTGTGTCTGTATTTCTGCTTCCCGCCTCCTTGCTGCAAGGCACGGCTGTTGTACAACAGATGTAACAAACGTGCTGTCCTTACGGGCATAGCTGCATGACTGGGGTTTTTTGGATGAGCGAGAGAGCAGGAGTTGGACCCCCTTCTCCTTGGTGCCACTCGCGTGAGCCAGGCGGGAGATGGATGGGGCTGCTCCTCTTCCTCGCTTTGTCCTTCACCATCCTCTTCCTCGCTTTGTCCTTCACCAAGCCTCCTAAAGGCTGGACTCAGCATTCCTGGCTCTCCGGTCACGTTCCCCGAGCGACCGGCAGAGGTGGATGTGCAGGGGGTGCAGGTTTTCCACCGCTGTGGGAATGCTTGCAAACAAACAAAAACCTGCTGTGAAAGCAGCAGCGCACTCATTCTGGAGATGATGCTGTTTCTTCTGCTATGGAGAGTACCTATTCCTTGTCATCATGGGACCTTAGACGAGCTGGTACTTTGTCTGGGGTGATGAAATGCAGTGTGTTGCAAACGGATTTGTTAATCCGTTCATGAGCAACGTGGATGTCTGTGGCTGCATTTTCCCTTCGTGCTGAGAGCTCAACTAATGTCATTACCTACCTAGAAAGTGTGTGATTTATCCTATGGCAGAATTCCGTAATCCCAGTTAGAACTTTTCTGTCTAGTCAGGGAGAGGCACAAAATTGCTTCTAATGAGATACTCTGAAATTATTTGTGCTTATCTTTTCTTTCCATAGGACTGTGTGCTTTTACTGCCAGTATTCTAGAGGGACGCTCAAGGAAGAAAAATCAACAGGAATTAAACATTCACCTATAAAAGTGTGCGTGTGTTTGCTGCTTCCACACATTAACCGCATGGTTTTTATGCAAAAACAAACAAAAAACCCCCAAACAAAAAAATTAATTTAGCATGAGCCAATTTACAGAGCATGGAAATTCACGTTCATTCACAGGATCGGAGGGTGCGCAGTTACCAATGCAGTGTATATACAAGATGCCATGCTGTTAACAGCTTCTTTCAAGCAGTTTGATGTCATCTCAAAAGAAATAAATTCCTGTGGCCAGAGGGGATGTATGAAGATGAAATGGTTAAACCATGGAAAGACACTAAAATTACTAAAATCCACAACAGCTCGCCTTATTTTTCTTGGACCCAAACTGTCAGGGTATAAAACACTATTTGTTTCTTTTTTAAACATCAATAGTTTTGCTGTAAATAAATAACACTGTATAAATTCTAACAAAATAGAATAAATGTTGATAAGGCACTGCCTTTTTGATCACAAACAGAATATTGCAAATGCATTGAGCAGGCTAGGTGTCTCAAATGGCTGCACCTACAGGGATATTCTGGGTGTATCTTCACAGATTCTTGTATATTAGCAATTATAATGTTTGTATATGCAAAAACGCTAGCTTGATTTTAAAAAAATCTTTAAAATCTGCTGCAAATTTAAATGATTCCCAAAATGAGGAATTCTGTAGTTCTGTGAAAATTTTTCTTCAGAGTACTAATATTTTGATGCATGTGTTTCACCTTATTTTGATTAAATCTTTTCCAGTTTTGCAAACACTATACCGCAACATGAAAAATAAGATTTTATCTGTAAACACAAAGCCCTTCATCTAATATTTGTTGCTGTTGCCAATTTTTCAATGAAATGACCTAAAACCCATAACATCTACAGTAGTTGCATTATGGGGAGGGGGGTGCTATCTGTTCTCGCTTTATAACGGGGGTAATGCTTGCAGCTTTAGAAGTGGGTTGGTGCTCCGAGGAGCACAAGTTTGGGATATTTTTAAATGAAATGAAGAGAAATTATTAGCTAATAGACTGGCAGCACGCTGTAAAATTATTACTGTATTGTGTACTGGCTATAAGATGTAGAATCTTTCAGTAAGCCAATCATCCGTAATCATCCTAGCAGTGTAATATTAGGTTGTTAAGGCTGCTGTGTTTTAAAGGGCATTTTTATTTGGGTTTTGGTGAAATACTTTAATTTGTTGATTATATTCATATGGAAACAGCATTCATTGATAATAGCTCTAATTACATATGTATGAAAACAACAAACACTGGATGATCTAGTTGATTATTTAAGCATAAAATAAATTGTGTTAAAACTCTTGGATAATGTGTATTTGGCAGTGTTCTTGCACCCTATAGACGTGCGGCTTCGCAAGGCCAGCTGTCAATCACCCCTGGCTTTCTGCTGCTTTTCGTCTCTGTTTCTTTTGTCTGATCCACCTCCGCCTCTTCCCAGCATGACGGGCCGTCCCTTGGCAGGCTGCCCCGGGGTGGGGGGAACGGGAGGAGCACACAGCAGCCAGCACATCCTCAGCAAAGCCATGGAAAGCCACCTCCCTGGGACGTAGGAGACCTTGGGCGTGGGGAGAGGGGGGTGTGCGCAGCCTCTTCTCCAACGCTTGTTAACTCCGGACCTCCTGTAATTTCTTTTGCCGCATCAAGAACCAGGAAGAGCAGTATCGAAAGCGGTTGTCTCCTCGGTGTGTATCAGTCAGACCAATAATCAACGCGCTGCAGGTTCATCTCCTGTACGTTGCGTGCACTTGCTATATATTATAGGTGATGGACCACTCCATATATACATTAAAAATGTGGCCAAAACAATTTTCTTGGCAGCACCGGTACATGCTCACTGCTCTGGCCTGCAGGCTTCTGCTCGGGTGCAATGAATAAATTTCATTACTCGGGGTTCACTTTTACCTGGCTTTCAAGGCAAGGTGAAGATGATGTATTTTACCCAGCTTGGCACCTGAGGAAGCACCCGCTGCTAGAGGTCCAGCTCGGTGTGCTGCTTGTTATCTGCCGACCCACGCAGGAACCGGCCCTCACCTGGGGTCAGTCAGCAAAGCTCTCCGGACTGGTGAGAAGCACTTGGCTCCAGGAGAGCGTAACAGGCTGGTTACATGTGCGTTTCCAAGTTACTCGGACTGCCAGCTTTTGAAGCGGTGACAGGAAATGAAGTGGTTTTCATCGTTTTAGCAGCCAGTCTGCTGATGGTTCGGATCCTTTTGCCAGAGCCTGGAAGGCGAATGCCACTTACGCCGCCGGAGAACAAACACGTCTTACTGCGGGTCACTGTCCGACGGCAGCGATCGTACTCCTGGAGACCTGGCCGCCCAGATGCCTCCCTCCCGCTCGTGAGTTCCCAGCTCAGCTGAATGAAAAAGAATGTTTTCAGTAAACGGTGTGCAGATGTATATATTTAATGTTATATCGTGATTTTACAGTTGGAAGCAAAGGCTGTGGTGACCACCAGCAGGAAGGCAGGAGCAGCGCTGTAGAAGAGTCTCACTTCACCTCTAATGGCACCCGAAAAGCAGCGGTTCGTTTGACTCCTCTCTCCCCAGTTAGTGCCTGACGCTGGTGAGGCAGAAGGCTGTGACTGTACCTGGAACGGTAATTCTGGCAGGTGGAATCTCTCTTTATGTGGACAGAAAAGCGGGGTTGCCTGAGTGGGTAGCAGAGGAGCGGGGGGGGGAGCCCCGGCAGGTCTGCCGCTGCTGGTGATGTATGTAGCGCCTTCAAGCTCGGGGAGTTGGTCTTGACCGTGACAGCAGCCGCGCGCAGCTCGAGGGTGCTTTCGCAGCAAGGCCCAGCCGTGGGGAGCGCTCGGCGCCTGAGCAGGCTGTGGCCGCGGCAGAGGTGCTTCTCGGGCCGTCCGAGCCAGCGCTATACGTGCCCAGGCAGGGCTGTCCCCCACCGCCGGCAGGTCCCAGTCCTCCAGCTCCTGCCGCTTGCTGCCTCCCGCGAAGCCTTGATACAACGGAGACGGCGAACTCAAATTTGCAGAGTTTAAAATGTCACGTTAGATGTTGCACAGACAGGATTTTCTGGGTGTTGGTTTGTTTTGCAGCGAGTGTGTTGCTTCCAACAGTAGCTCAGGATATTTGGGCAAAACAAGGTTGAAGCATAAATGCTCATTTAAGAAGGAAGACAGAAATCTTGCCAGAACCAGCAAACAGTGCAGCCAGCCCCGCAGTGAGGACTCTACCTCTAATGTGCACTTTGGTCTTTTTCTCATATTTTCTCCAATGAGAACATTTCCCTTAGAGGCAAAATTGTGGGTCGTGGGACTTATCACATCTATTAAAATAAACTGGATTGCTAAATACGGTGTTCTTTTCATCCTTTGATATTTGATTTACCACTACCTAATAATAATGCTGCAGACTATCGTCTTGTCCTTTTTCCATTTCTGAAAGAATATCAATTACATTTTATTTGTGGCCAGTAATAGTTTTAATGTGGAAAATTCTGAGAGCTCCTGTAGTGCGGAGCTGACATTTGTGAGGTAAAATGCAGTCGCTTGCGGGATTGCAGCACCCTGCTAATTAATGCTGATTTCCTGGGTGGTTCTTTAACAGAGGCGTTGTCCGTAGCGTCCACTGTGCAGGACATCGAGACAGGCTCTACTGGGGGTTGCTGCAGCCCGGCGTGCGGGGCATGCACCCCCAAAATCTCTCCATGCCTCCTGTTGAAGGAGTTTGTAACTGGGGCTTCTTTGGGCTCGAAGTCAATAATATTTGATGAAACTCGCTGAGGCCCATCAGTGGCAATTTACATCACGTAACCTACACGATGCCGAGCTGCGCGTGGCCCCGCGCGCTTAGGGAGCTCTGCAGGGGCAGCACCAACGGCTTCGGGGCAGCTCTCCTGCCCCGCCAGCCCTCTCCCCAGGAAGGGGCTGCAAGCCGGAGGGCTGGGGGTTGCCTGGCTGAGGCCGGTGCAGGATGCTGGGCAGTGTGTTGGCAAGGGGCTCGGTTTTTTGTCCTAGCTATGTGCACGCCGTATGAAAAGCCTCCCACTGACCCAGTGCGTCCTTTGCCAAGGGGCGGTGGGTGGGGGCGGGCGCAAACAGGACCTCTGTTTTCAGGGCAGATCTCACCAAGCTGGGGCTGGAGGAGGAAGAGTTCCCAGCTCAGCCCTTCCCTAACCCCAGAGCAAGAGAGGGAGGGAAAACATGGCGATAGCGAGGAGGAAAATATTCTTGCTTCGTTGAAAGCACAGCAGGAAGAAGGGAAGTTTAGACTCAGCCTGCTATAAAGTGCTTGATGTAAAAAATAGTCCATTACTGGGAGACAAGAAGGTTAGTGAAGGACAGAAAAATGAGCTGCTCAAGAAAAATCTATGTATGTGCCATGGTTTTCATAACTGCTGATGCTAAAAACAGTATGCTAATTGTGCATGGCTTTATTTGTTTGACCCTAAGTCCTGGAGGAAGGCGAAGATTTATAATAAAAGTTTTATTGGTACTTTTCCCAACACGCTAATGTTCAATTATTGAGAGCCATTTGGGCTATAAAACAGCAAGGCACAGCGATCCCCTGTTCACCAACTTCCTTGGAAGGCTTCCAGAGGCTGGATATCATTACAGCCAGACCAGCAGAACCAACCTGGTATGAACTCTAAAAAAATTCCTTGGGAGAACAAGGGTCCAACGGCAAAGCCCTGGAGCTGAAGATGCGTTGGCTACCGGGGTGGCTACGGCGTGGCGTGTTTTCAGTCAGGTACTCCATCCTGCACAGAGACTTCTTTTCTAATGCAGGTTTCTGATTAAATAATTATTGGTCAGAAAAGCGAAGCAGCACGGCATTGTTTTCATCTGAATTACTTGTTAGAAAACATGTTTTATCCTGCATCAGTAGACAATATTAGCAAATTGGCATTTTTTCTGCTCATACAAGTATCTTTCAAATTGAGGTTTCTCCCCTTCAACAACCCTTCCACAATGGTAAAATCTCCACATGTTCACTCCATTGTCCCCTTTGAATATTCCTGTGTATACAGGTCACAATTTTTTTTAACACTGCTTCAGTTTATTTTCCTAGCAATATTTTCCATTAATTGCATTTTAATGCGACTTTGTCTTTCCTTTATGTTTTTTTTCCCCTCTATTTCAGTCAGGTACTCTGAGTACTGTACAGAATTTTTCCCGAGGTTAATTATCTTCAGTTGGTCTTTCCCTCTTCGGTCTATAACTACTGAATATTTTAATAAAATTGCATTGTTACAGAAGGTCTTCCAGCTGATTAATGGACCTGTAGAATTATATTAAGGATTATATTAAATCTCTCAATATACCTCTTCTAAGCCCTCATGCCTAGCAATATATTTTATACAAATATTTTCACTGTTGATGTGAGTTTATGCAACACTGTGTCTAATTGCCCATTACCTCCCAGAATGATAGTTTCTGTGAATAAATCCCTGCCTTTTTATTGCTGCTTCTTGACATGAGTATCTGCTCTGCTGTTATTACAGTGCCGGTGACGTTTTGAAATTCTTTATTTGGACCAGCACCTGCCCTTGTCCCCTTAGAGTTTTGCATTTGGTTTTTGTACAATAAAAAAATACTGGGCCAAGGAGGATGGGGACCTCGTCCTGCGGGCGCTGCGGCGGCGACAGGCTGGTCGCGGCGGCTTTCCCGGCCG